AGAGAGAACTAGCCTAAGTGTGGTTCTCATTTCTGATTGCACATTAGAATTGCCTCTGGAGTTTCAAACATTTTATTGTATTTTTAAGTTTTACTAGATTCTTTGGAACCTAGTGAGGCCCAGCTTCACTTCAAGGGATTCTGATTTAATTGGTTGCTTGTGGGATTTTTCACAATATTTTCTTTAAAGCTCCAGAGGTAATTCTAATGTGATTGTGCTTCGCTGGTGTAGAAGTGGGAGAAGGCAGTGGAATCTAAAAACATTCAAAATCCATGATTATTGAAATATAAAACAAGGATAATTAAATGAGGTAATGCTTGTTAACCTGCTGGATACAAAGCAGTGAGTGCCTGTGGGAAGAATTAATAGAAAATGCATTTCCCTTTGGCATAGGATTCTGTTTTTTGGTCTTTGTTTATACCTTCAGAATCTTTCACACCTGTTAACAAAGCCACAATGATGAGGACCATTATGATTGCACAGGTTAGGCCCTGCCAAAAGATTCCTATTTGACCTGTGAATGACATCCAGCCCTTGGTCTCCCCACCATACTGGAACACTCACAAAGATAACAATAGCAGCCCGGAGACCAGACCAACCACTGACTGGCATCTATCCTCTTCAGGAACTTCCCTTCTGACATTTGCTGAGAATGGTGCTCCTCTCATCAGATTTCTAAGACCCTGAAGCCGGGTCATGTGACTACTCTCAGAATAGACAGGACACACAGTTCTGACGAGGAAGCATAGAATTCAGAGAACAGCCTGGGCTGGGACCCTGGGATGATCTCCTATTCCTTAGAAAGTTCTAGAATCAAGGAGTCTGAGGACTCACTCCACATACCAGTCCTCTGGGAGTTTCCTGAACTGGTAAGCCTTGCTACCTGCCTCCCAGCTGCTCCTGGCAATTTGAGCAGCCTTGTCTGCTAAGTCCACGACCTGGATCAGGAACAGGACTGATCACAGATCATATATCTGGTGCATGCCACAGGGGAGAGGGGTGGAGTCAGAGCAGGGGCAGGAGGAGAAACAGAGAATGTAGTGATGGTTTGCAGGTAATATATGGTGGCGGGAGTGCTATTGGTACTACACCAGAGGGAGAAACCATTTACTGTACAAGGCTGAATAACGATGTAAGGGAAAAAAAAAATATATGTATGAGAAAGAAATAACAAACAAAAAGCAGTCCTAATATGAGGGCCTGAGTCAAAAAGCTGCCCACTTTCTCCCTCTTCCAAATATAGAGTGGGCCTTGTATGTACAAATAGGAATTTAAAACAAGAGCCTTAATATCTTTTGTTGAACTTAAGGGAAGAGAGTTCCCTCTCACCCCTTTTTTGTCAGAAATATTTACCTTAGAAACCTAGTGTTTTCTCAAGCTCTTTGAAATATTTCTTTTTAGAGACTACATAAGCATTTTGTCAGCTCTGTAACCCTGGATGTCTTTCTCAAGGAACGGCAATCCATCTCTTTGGAACATAAACATGAGGAGATAGTGCCATTACCCACTAATTTCTTTTTTATCGCAGAATAGATCAATCTGCTAATCTTTTACACAGCTATATAATTTGGGGAGTACAGCTGCACACCTCCATATAAGAGCGTGCTTCACTCCCACTCCACCAAAGTTCCAGTGCCAATACTCTCTCTCACACTCCCTCCATTTCCCTCCTCCCTGCTCTCCACCCTCTCTGGTAACCACTATATTTTTCACATTCTAAGTATTATTTTTTAAAAAGATTTTATTTATTTATATATACAAGAACTGGGGTGTAGGCCAGAGCTGTGGGGGTAGTGAGAGGATTCACCAGAGACAGAGTGGAGAGCAGAACAGGTGGATTAACTGAAATACACTGCTGAGGGGAGCAGCAGATGAGACAGGAGAGGTCTGCTGCGACATGTGGGTCAGCTCCCTCCCTGGGGATCTAACTCATGTTGCAGTGGCTGGGGATAGCTTTCATGCTGAGACTTAAACCATTGCACCGCCAAGGAGGCCCTCTAAGTGTTATTTTTATTGTGTTTTGCCAATTTGTTTTCTTTGGTTATTTTTGTTCTATAAATGAGTGAAACCATTAGGTAACTTTCTGACTTACTTTATCACCTCAAGATCCCTCCATTTTGTCCCAAAAGGCACAGTTTCATCTTTTTAAATAGTTGAATAGTATTCCATTGAGTATACAATCCAATTTCTTTATCTAGTCATCTGTCAGCGGGCATTTACATTAGTTCCATGTCTTTGCTATGGTAAATAATGCTGCTATGAACATAGGAGTGTATAATCCTTTTGCTTATTTAGTGTTTTCATATTCTTTGGGTAAACACCTAGCAGTGGTATTGCTGGGTCATAGGATATTTTAGTTTCTTTGAGGAACCTCCATACTGTTTTTCATAGAGGCTGTGCAAAATCATTTTCCAAACAGTAGATCAGTGTTTCTTTTACTTTCATATACTCACCATTAGTTGTTTCCAGTCTTTTTGATACAGGCCATTCTCACAAGGATGAGTTAATATCTCATTGTGGTTTTGATTTGCATTTCCCTAATAAGTGATGTTAAAATTTTTTTCTTGTGCCTGTAGGCCATCTGAATGTCTTCCTTGGATGAGTATCTATTTAGGTCTTTTGCCCATTTTTTGATTGGCTTATTTCTTCGTTGTTGAGTTGTATGAGTTCTTTATATATGTTGGAAATTGACCCGTCATATGTATGATATGAAAATATAGTCTCCCAGTTCATAGGTTGTCTTTTTGTTTTTGTGGCAGTTATTTTCATGGTACAAAAGGTCTTTAGTTTTGCTTTTTCGCTCTTTGCCATTAGTTAACTCCCCAAGTAAATTTCTATGGCAGATGTCAAGGAGTATATGCCTTTTCTTTTATGTATTTTATGGTTTTAGGTTTTCCATTAAAGTCTTTAATCCATTTTGATTTAATTTTGTATATGTAGTTAAGTAATTAATGCCTTTTTTTTTTTTCATGATTATAAGGCAGGAAGAGGCACTGAGCAGGTTTTCTATGATCCTATGCAGACTGAGTAAAGAAGGAGTCCTAGAGAGTCCTGGAGCCCTCAGTGGCTTTTGCAGGCTTTTATTGGGATTTACCGGGTACATGGCAGGTAGGGGTGCCTACCAGCCTCCTGGCCCCCAGCAAGTCTTCACTTTTTCGGGGCTCTCCAGCGTTCTCTTGCATTCTCTCTGCTTCTCTGCTCTCCTGCTTCTCCTTCTGCTCTCTTGGCTTCTGCTGGTGTCCCGGTGATGCCGCCCTTAAAAGCCCAGTCTTAGCCCAGGTGAATCAATCCCATCTACATTTGCCCACACCCTACTCCAGGTGCCCGCCATCAGGCATGCAGTCAGGACCGCAGGGTTCCGTCATCTATCCTAATGGCAGGAGGGCAAAAAAGCCTGATAGTTTTTACCTTACCCTACATTGATGCTGTCCAAATGTCCCAACACCATTTGTTGAAGGGGCTTTCTTTTCTCTAGTGTAAGGTCACGCTTTTTTTAATCAAAGATAAACTGTTCATTATTTGTGTGAAATTATTTCTAGACTTTTTATTCTATTCCTGTGGCCTGTGTTTCTATTTTTGTGAAGTTGGAATTATGAAATTTTCATATGGCAATTTACTTCCCATGGTTCTTTTATGTAAAACTTACTGGATGATGAACACCACCAAAATGAAGTGATAACCCAAGAAGGGAGAAAAACATGAGATTCACGAAATTGGGAATCTATGAGAGAGGAAAAGGTAATTCCCTAGATATGGGGATGTTTCTAAGAAGATGAAGTTGATAGAACAGTTTATATGACTGGATATAATCAGGGGAGAGTTTTAATTTTATGGGAGAGTTTAGTATGAATGATCACAGAAAATAAAGCAAACGAAAGGCAATCCTTTACTATTGAAACTTAATAGTAATACAATAAAGTAAATTGATTCTGATAAAACAAAATAAGGCAAAACAGATACAACTTACTAATTACCTCAACCTGGAAAGCTACAGATGGCTTTTTTTCCCCCCCTGAAAAATAACATGTCTTCTTCCTTCTTCCTCATTCTCTTCTTCCAACTGGTCATTAAATTCTGTTGACTTTATCTTCTACCTATTATTTTTTTAATGTGGTAAAACATACATAAATTTATCATTTTAACCATTTTAAAGCATACAATTCAGTGGCACAGGTACATTCAAATGTTGCATTGCTACAACTCATTTCTAGAGCTTTTTCATCATCCCACACAGAAATTCCATACCCATAACATTGCCCACCCCTACTCTAACCCTCAGTGCTGGTAACCTGTATCCATTAATTTGTCTATTCTAGGTGGAATTATACAGCATTTGTCCTTTTGTGTTTCGCTTATTTATATTTGTATTTGGCATAACAGTAACTAAAGATTATCGATACAAAGCACCTTTCCAAAAAGTGATGTTTACATTTATACCAGCTGGAGATGGTGTCCTCTCTGCCTCTCAGATGTTCGCTAACCACACTCCCATGTTTGCGTGGTCCTCCCCACACTGAATCAGAGATGGTCTGTGTGACCAACAGCATAGAGTAGAACTGATGGTATGTCACTTTCAGATTATAAAAAGCTGGTGGCTATTATGGGTACTTGCGCATGGATCATTTGATCTGGTTTTTTTCATTTGCTCTCAGCAAAGCTATGGGGAGGCCAGCATAGTAAGGAGCTGCCATTTCTGTCAGCAGTTACATGAGTGAGCTATTTCTCCTTTTTTGTTGTTTGGTTTTTAAATTTGCATACATATTTTTTAACAAATAGAAATGAATTTTTTTTATAATTCAATCTTTTGATTTCTCCTTATGTGATCTCCTTCATTAGGATTTTTCAATTTAAAAAATTTATCAAAAAGTTTTTTTTTCTTAAAAATGTCATATGATTCTAAATAGTTTATAATGAAAAACAGCAGTTCCTTACCTTTATCCTTCAGTGTCTCAGTAACTGTATCAGCCAGGCTCTGATCAGAGAATCAGAAGCACTAGAAGTGATAGAGAATAAAGGCTCTATGACAGAGATTCTACTTTACAATTGTGGGACAGTCTCTAACACCAATCTCTAAAACCAGTCAGACAGGCAATTTGGACTCAGAGTAAAGGAGAGTAAGGGACAAGCTTCGAATCTGTACCAGTGTCTCAGCCTTGCCATTTCCTCCAGTTTGAGTGATTTAAGTGCCCTGCAGAACATGGTGTTCTTCATCAGAGTCCAGGGACTGGGTCCAGGAGTTGATAAGCCAAAAGAGGTCATGCTTGAGATCTTTCCTAGAATCACTATATGAATATAGGAAATTAACTAAATCACTGACTTTATTTCTTTGTATGTCATGTATGTATATCCCTTGCAAGGCTTTAAAAACTGCTCTTTGTAACTCTTGGCTTGATGATCACTTCTGTAAATTTTTGGTTTTAATTAATTGGGTTTTGCATTTATCTTTGATATATAGATTCAAATGTCCAGTTCATCTGGGGCAGGAGTAGTGAAAAAAAAGAAAAAGCCCAAAGTCTAGTTCATTTATTTTGCTTGCTTCTTTAATAAAGAAGAATTTTAATAATAATAAATTAAAAAAAAAAAACTATCATATGTAAAATGTTCTCTATATGTGTGGATTAAAAATTGGTAGTCGGGCCTCCCCAGTGGCGCAGCGGTTGAGCACTGGGTTGCGAAGCTGCCCGCGGCCTCTGCAGCGCCGGTTCGATCCCCGGCCGCTCCCCGGCCACCAGAGGAGGGTCCCACATGGCGTGCAGACCTCTCCTGCTGCCTGCTGCTCCCCTCAGCAGTGTACCCCGGTCCTTCTGCCTGCTCTGCTCCCAGCTCTGGCTCTGGTGAATTCTCTCACCCTCCCATGCTTCTGACTGTACCCAGTGCTTGTATAAATAAATAAATAAATCTTTAAAGATGGAAAAAAAAACAAAACTGGTAGTCCCATACCACCACTTGGGCAGTCTGCAAACAAGTGCGTGTGTTTGCATGTATATATGCTCATTGCAGAAGACCTCCAAAAAAAAAAAAAAAAATACCGGAAAGGAAGAAAAATGGAAAAATGCACACAAATGCACATTAACTTATTTAAACATTCCGCTCTAGTTGGCTTCAGGTTCCCTCTTGTTCCTTCATGAAGCTGACATCTTGGCTTATATTTCTTGGGTGTAAGAGGAACAAATTCCTACAAAAGGTATGGTTTATACAATCGGTACACATTCCTAAACCATTCCCAGGTTGGCAAAATAAAATCCACAAAAATGCCATTCCCTTCTCTAAACCATGACAGAATCTCATTCTGAGTATGTGTAATGTAATTATGTACCTATGTGTATATAAACACACATGCATGTAAAAATATAGATGTAATTTTTATTCCATTGTTCTCATGATTTCACCTACTTATGGCTAAAAATAGAATCATAATTCAAACTTCTTGATGCAAAACAAACACTCCTAGAGCAGTCCTTCACAGCTAAGAACATGAACTTTTTGGGATATTTTTTTCAGTACTTATTTATGTAAGATTTATATGTGTAAGAGAACTATTGAGAGTCCATTTTTACATCCTGTTAAAACAATATTTAAAACAATCTAATACTAATCTAGAACATTACAATTTGAAATTCTACTCAAGTTGACAGTTCATAATACTTTAATACTAGTAGGAACTAGTATTAACTGAAATATCAACAGGTAATTTATTTATTTATTTTAAAAGATTTATTTATTCATACATACAAGAACTGGGGTACAGCCCAGAGGTGTGGGGGATGAGAGGATTCACCAGAGACAGAGCGGGGAACAGAACAGGCAGACTAACCAAAATACACTGCTGAGGGGAGCAGCGGGCGCGACAAGAGAGGTCTGCTGCGCTATGTGGGTATCTCGCCAGTCGGCTGGGATAGAACCTGCATGGCAGAGGCTGCAGACAGCTTCACAGTGCTGAGTTCAACCCGCTGTGCCACCAGGGGAGGCCCGCAACAGGTAATTTAATTAATAGCATCCAATCTGGACCCATGGTCACCTCTTATTAAGTGAGGACCTGGCTTAGGTGCTCTGAGAGTTACTACAAAGATTTGTAAATAAAACATACCATCTCTGTGCTCCATGGAATAGGGGTTGGGCAGTAGAAATAGATACTTATACAACAACAGACTAAGACACAGATTGATTTTAGGGAGTCATGTTAATCTGGAAAGATCTCAGAGGTAGAATTTGAAGGTTTTAAGGCAGTCTGTGGTAAACTGGAGGGAACAATATGAACAAGATCTCTGAGCCAGGAAAATGAGGAAGTTGTCAGGAGAATAATATTAGTCAGAGTGAAAAGGAGACAAGGCTGGGAATATATACTAGAACTATATCAGAGCAGGCTTTTGGTAACAGGAGAAAAGGTATGAATCTATTCTGTAAGCAATGGTAACCACTGGTGTTTGTTGAGGAGAAAGGTGAAAATTTAATCTTTGTTTAAAAAGATATTACACAAATATCTACCAATTTATGAACAAATGTCAGTATATACACTGGTTTAAAATTTTTCTTCATTTAAGACAAAACTTGCAAGGTGACCATAGACCTGAGGCACAGAGTAAAGGAAGGGAAGAGAGAAGGGGTCAAAACAGGGGAGGAAAGCACAAAAGGACTATAGTGTTAGATCATGGTGCTATGGTGGTCGGATAACTACAGGGACCACACCAGAGGGTAGAAATCAAATACTACCCAAAATTAACAAAGATGTAAAAAAATAAATAAATAAAACATTAGATCTAAAAAAATTTTCCCTTCATTTCAATAAAAACCTTACACCAAACTTTCATTTTGTCAATCAGCCATTTTCTAGACTTTTCCAAAATTAATTACATATTGATTAATTTTTCACAAAAAATTACAAGTACTACAATACTGGTGATTCCTATTTATATATTTTTGGATAGAAAATCCTTTTTGTTTAAACAAAATAAATTCAATGGAAATACACTATGGAAAATACATTTTAATCCAAAAGTTTGAATATTAGCTCTTAGTTATTTACAATGGTATTTACAACTGATTTTACTATATTTATTTTGAATAGAGAGATGACTATGTACATAATTATCTACATTTGCTTTTTTTCAACCCACAAACTATAACAGTGTAGAAAAATTGTCACAGCTCAAAATCATTACAATTAAACTAGATTCTGACAAATTTTCCTAGGGCTGAAAAATGCTAGTTAAATCAGGGTAGAAGAGGTGAGTGTGTGCAATCCTTACTTCTTCCCATTTTCATACTGTTGTTAAAATAGCTAACAGTATATTGGCATTTTTTAAATGAGAAAACAAAGCTTGTATAACTTTGTGATATTGTTGGCCATAGCTACATTTTATTTGATTAAGTCTTTGGTAAGAAATCCAAACCTTAATTAAAACTTCATTGTGAAAATACAATTCATTCGTGAGTTTCTAGAAATAAATTATGGAGAAAAATAGATACTACCTGTTCCTAATGGTCTCCTTGGAAATCACAGTCTTTGCCTGGGAAAATACATACATAGAATGTTTAACTTCAAAGTACATTTAATTCTTTTTTATCCCTTTTAATTTTCTAAATGACTAGTAATAAACTAATGGTTTAAAGGCTAATGATAATTGGGTAATAGAGAAAAAACTTTTAAGTCATTTTTCCATTTAAGAATTTCATTAGTAAAAGGTGGCATATCTTATAGCAGTAAGAAAACAAGGTAACTGGAAATCTAGCTTTACTTTTCAAACTATAGATGGTTGGCAACTGTTTCCTTAATAGTTATTGCAGGAGTAGGTCCAACATGAGTCCATATATAGCCCTTCTCTGGTCTTGTGGGGACTGTGGGAAATGGTGATGAACGTGACTTGAAATATTCAGAAGGTGCATGACAAACAAATTCCAAGTATTCCATCTTCCTTGGAAGATCTTCCTCTGGTCCTGAAAGGCAACCAATGAAAAAGTTGAACACATTTTTGAACATATATTTCATTTTTATAAAATGTTATAATTCTTAAATACTAGGAAAACCACTCTGGTGGTAATTCGACATTAGTCTTTGAAACATGTATATTCTGAAGTTATTTTCCACCTTTTTTCTACTTTAACTGCTTAATGAATACAGCATTCTCCCCCAAACATCAAGTCAATATAGGATTCTAAAAATAGTTAGCCTAATATTGTGTTTATCACATGCCTATGTTGATCTAAGTACTTTCCATATATCAATACTTTAAATCCTCACGCCAATCCTCTGAGCTAGGCATACCACTTTCATTTTACATGTTAGAAAAATGAAGTAAGACAAACTAAGGAACTTTCCCAAGTTCCAAGATCATAAGGCTAGTGGCTGGGCTAGGAGTCCAGAAAGTCTTAATTCCAGAGTTTGTTTTCTGAACCTCTCTGCTAAGCTGCCTCCTCTAGAGGATTGGGAAGAACAGTTGAGAGAGGAGCCACAGAAACGATGGCCTCTCTGAAGAAACCTGTCTGACAGATTACGTAAATGACAGTTCATGCTTCTATGTACTTACAAGCAGAAGATCAAAACTGGTCATGTATCAAACTTGTCATATAGGTGAGAATAATAGTGTTACATTATTTGTCCCTGAGGTCTGCTGAAGAAATTTTCACAATGTTTTCTTTTAATTATATAATTATGCTAGTATTTTATTAATTCAAAAGCACTTTACAAGAAAATAGTTAAGTATGGCTCCTACAGCAATGTTACACTTCGATTTGGCATCTAGCTCCACAGGTCGGAAATGTGGCAACTCAAATCCACACATCCTAGAATGGGTCTTCCCACTCATTCATGCCTGCTCCACAAATGCTCTCACTGAACCAGTGTCCACAAATGGTGGTATAAGTTTCCTTTTTTTCAGAATGCAAAAGTACAACATGCCCACTGCAGAAAGAGCTAAAAGTTCACAGTAAATTAAAAACTTCAAAAACATTCAAAATGGTATTCATCACTAACTTCTCATGAGCCTACATCAAGAACCATTTGTCCTACTTCTTTTGTCAGTCTTGAAATTAATGAGAGTACAGTGGCTGCAACTGAAATTAACAACAATGACAAGTTATAAAAAGTAAATGTGTAAAATGTAGATGGACACATATTGAGAACTTTTAAGATTTTAAAATAACTGCCATACTTCTTTTAGAAATTATTATTGAATAGATTTTTATAAGTAACCTAACTATCCTAGTTCCTAAAGAATAAATTTTAATAAAGTTAAACCCTGGGTTACTCAGGAAAATCTTATTCACAGCACTTTGTAGCAGGTTCATATTGCCAGAACTCAAAATAACTAATCACACTCAACCCCGTTATAATGTCCTTCGTATTTTCTACAAAGCTCTCTAATTTTTTGCACTTGATGATACTTAAGCTTCTTTACTATGGAGTGATTTATATCCCTCCCAAATTTATATGTTGAAGCCCTAACTACCAATGTGATAGTACTGGACATAGGGACTTTAGGGAGGTAGATCTGGTTAAATGAGGTCATAAGGGTGGGAACCTAATCCAACATGATTTGGTATTTTTGTTTGTTTTTTTTTTTTTTACAAAAAAGCTAGAGAATGGACCTCCCCAGTGGCGCAGTGGTTGAGCGCTGGGTTGTGAAGCTGCCCGCAGCCTCTGCAGCGCCGGTTTGATCCCCGGTCGCCGGGTGAGGGTCCCACATGGCGCGCAGACCTCTCCTGCAGCTCGCTGCTCCCCTTAGCAGTGCACTTTGTCAGTCTGCCTGTTCTGCTCTCCACTCTGGCTCTGGTGAATTCTCTCACCCTCCCGCGCTTCTGACTATACCCCAGCGCTTGTATAAATAAATAAATCTTAAAAAAAAAAGCAAGAGATTTATTGGTAGATAAGGACAAGAAAGCTTCTTATCCTAGGGACCCCAGAGGGGACCCCAGAGTGTAGCCCTAATTATGTTCTTATAAGAACAGATTCCAGGAGTGGACATGTTAAGAAGGTGGCTATCTACAAGTCTGGAAGAGAACATTCATCAGAAGCTACCTAACAACACCTTGATTTTAGACTCCAGCCTCCAGAACTATTAGAAAATAAATTCCTGTTGTGTAAGTCCTTCAGTCTGTGGTATTTTATGGCAGTCTGAGCAGACTAATACATTCTTATATATAATAATGGGGAAATAACTGGGTTCAAAAACCTGCACCAATTGTCAAACTCACCTATGATGTAGGATGCAGGATCAAATTGGTCCCTGGGGCTAGAAAGAGTGGGAATGAGCCACGTTAGCGCTGCACTCTTCTCACAATACTGGTCTTGGATAAATCCCCTGATCTGAGCATAGTAGGGTTTTCCATCTTGCTCATCAATCACAGAAACAACATCTCCAATTTGGTAATATACTCCCTGGGAGAAGCAGAAGATAATTCTATATTTAAAGTCAATAGGACATTTCATATTAAAATGAGTATGAACTGAAAATTCCTCACATGAGAACAATCATTTTCGAAAGTGGTTAATAAGAGGTATTTGAGATTGTCTAAAGTATCAATGTTTACATGATTGATGCCAATTCTAGAACTGTTTCACTTTTGAATAAAAAAAATTACATGCACACATGATAACTTGCATCTGCAGAAAACATTTGTTTACAAAGATACTTTGATTTTATAGCACAAAGGTATCAACACTATCCCTGCTTTTTTTTGGCCGGGGCCATTACTCTATAGAAAGGTTAAGCGTTTTGCTGATAGCTATATAAGGCAGAGACTGCAGCTGAAGCAACTATACCAGCTTAGCTCTCTACCTCTGTACTGTCTTGAAAAGCAGTGCTTACCTGGTGAGAATATACTCTACACGCCTCCTTCCTTAATCATTCACTGAAGAAAACAGACACCGTAAGTTCAAGCCAAAAGAAAAGACAGAAACTCTTTTGATTATAATCAGTCTTCGGGATAACTTTATCCTCAATTTACTGTACCTTTTCTCAGTCTCACTGGGCTTGTCTTGTCCCTTCAATTCACTTTAATATTCTTCCCTAAAACAATTACTGGTATTTCTAACATTCAGTTCTATTTCCAGAAACTAAGCTGTGACAGGAATTTCTCCTGCTGTACCCTTTATCCATGTGTCTAAGGGTGATTGTAGCATCTGGTCGACTACAGGTGGGTATAGTCCTGTCCCCCCATAATCTGCTACTTACTAGTTCATAACCATTATAAACTGGTTCTTTTAGCCTCTACTCCAAGTTTGAAGTTATTTGTCATAAAATAGTTTGAATTAATGGTGAGCTTTGTCTAATGTATGATCACTACTCTCAAATTGTAAATGATTATATGTTTTCTCACATATAAAAAAGAGCTTGCTTATAATAGGCATTTGAATATATACTGAATGAATATTAATCCAAAATACATAATAGCATGAAAGCAGAACTGCCAGCCAAAGACAATGTCTTAGTAAAAGATTCCAATGGCAACCAGTGCCTGACACAAGATGTCTATTAATATGTGCTGTTATGTGTAATGTATATCTACATATGTATATACATACAATATACATATATAAGTAAATAAATAAAACACCAAACAGAACTGGGGCACTTGACGTAAGGAATTCCTTCCTTCACTCACCGGGAGGTTTCTGTGCTACTGGGAGAACAGAAAGGGGGTCTAACACATGAAGAACGCAGGCTCAGAAATGACCAGACCTGAGTTCACAGAGTTGTTCTGTGACTGAAGTACTCCAAGCAGGTCACTAAACTATTCTGGGCCTTGGGTGTCCATTCTATCCAGTGGCTCCCACTTACCTTCCTCCTGAATGCTTGATCTGGGCTCTAGTTCAGCAGCTGGCAATGACCTTTTAAACTCACCCACCCCAGCTGCCTGCAGTGGCATTACTGTGACAAACCCCACTCTGGGCACCTGCATCACTACTTGAACATTTTGTTGCATTTTGTTCTTATTGTTTAATAAACATGGGTGATAAACCCCAATAACAAAGTATTAATACTTCTAATAGCAGATCCCTCACATCTTTCTGTTGAGACATGCTTGAAAATAATTAGTACACTAAATCTTTAGCCCAACAAGTTTACTCCGTGAAGGTAATTGCATGAAACTGAAAATGTGATGATCATAATTTCTATTATTCATTGAGTGCCTAATCTTCTAAGTGTTTAACATACATAAGCTCACTTGCCCCTACAAGGCAGTTTCAATTTACAATCCCTATTTGACAGATGAAGAAATATTAGACAGGTTGGTCTTAGCCCCGTAGCCACTCATCCAAGCAGTGAGCCAGGAGCTGAACTCTAGGCTTAGACTCTGGCATCAGACAGCTTTGATCCATGACTTGTTGGTTATATGATCTTGGAAAAGTTAATAAACCCTTCTATGCCTCAATGTTCTTACCTATACAATAAGGATAACAGTGCCCAAGTCATGGAGTAGATTGAATGAAGTAAAGTATGCGAAATGTTTACAGCAATGTCTATACATAGCAAACACATACTAAACTTCATTATCAACAATGTATGAAATGCCAGAAATACAGGAGAGAGGTTTGCCTATGTATAAACTAGTTAAGAATATACAGATTTTGGGCTAAAAGAAAGATACACTGAAGGCAAATAATCACTTGTGTTTCCAGTGTTTGGTCCACTTAGGTCAGGTATAAATAAAGCACTAACATAGTACTGCCCCCTAGGTGACAGTTCAGACCTATGTCTGAAAAAACTGAAAGAAGAGAAGGGGTATTGTTTATAAACAGTAAACCTCCTGCAACAGAGCTCACTTCTCTTGTGGAGTTTGGAAGGGTTTCCAAGAGCGGACTCAAAGTTCAATGATGAGAGATGAAGGCTGTGGAGGACACACTACACACACAACACAGGCTTCATGCCTGGGCCAGGCCTGCCAGGGCTTAGAGGTCTTTTCTTCATCTCAATTGCTTTCCTAAGGTTTTGCTAAAAAATAATCCCATGTCACTTCTCTCACTGGGGTGTCAAGATGTGCATGGGCTAACAAATCTAACTACCTCATTCTGCTAGCAAAACATCTTAGACTTACTCTGTCACCAAAGACTTCTAATAGGTGCTAATCTCCACTAATACCCTTATTCCCCTCACTTCTGCCTAACGGCATTGTAGAATCTCTGTGCTTACACTAGCCAGTACATCACAGTCCACATGCTCTCCTAGTCCCAATCACACCTTTCTTAACCTTCAATCCATCTCAATGGCTAGGGTGGCTTCCTTTTTAGCTCCATGCCATAAATAAGCACTTTAAGAATTATTCCCATAACTTACATTAAAAATTCTTAAGATCCTCATAGCATATTTCAATAGGCAACCTCCCTCCCACCTCAGTTCTGGATGTGATGTTTTGTAACAGCCAACAGTGGTGGAAAATGGCTTAGATGGGAACAATAACAAAAAATCAAACCTTACAGAGCAGCTGAGACCATTACACTAACCCAACATTTTAGTAGAACACACAATAGGCCCAAATCTTCCTTCAGTAACTCTGCAGATGTTTACCTTGTAGAAGATTGACTCTGCAGTGATTATAGTGGAAACTGACTCAGGAGCTTTGATGGGCTGTGAAAAAACAAGAGAAAAGATATTAGCATATTCATAGTGAGATTTATGCGTATGCAGTGTGCATAGGCACTTCCCCAGTCATTATGAGAGTTCTATAATTTGAGAAATACTAACTTTGTTGTTTGGTGACAAGAAATGTGATAAAAAGATAAATTATTTTCTTCATGTGTGGCAAAGCAGTCTGAATATTTCTACTGCTGTTTCTGCTATCATTAGCTTCAAAATTGCTGAGAACCAAAGGACTAGCTTCTGATTATGTGACTGAGATTTAACATGAGCACTCTCAAAGCTTTATTATACATTAATAAATTTATAACAATATAATGGCTCTAATCACCTGAGTAGGACAGAAGTGGCTACAGTAAGAAATGTGTAGGTGAAAACAAAATGAGATAGTGTCTCCTTGCAAACATTCTCCACCTGAACTTAACTATGACAATATTCATCAAAACTGATTTTATAGTAAGACTGAACTAAAGCTAAAAGAAACTTCCTTCATTTGCCGTCAACTAGCATTAAAATCCCTTTTCTAGCAGTTACACACATATTTACGCCACAATATAGAAACCAGGCCTCTCCAAAATATTTCTTGATAAAATCCTTGAAGAAAGGGGCTGCTAGTGAAAATGATTAATTGTGAAAGGGGCTGCTAGTGAAAATGAAATAATTGCAGCGAACACATTCTATTATACTTAAGAAAAACCTGTGATTTCATGGTTCAACTATAATCTATTGAACATTCACTTAACAAGAAATTCCTCAGATGAAGGAAACAAAATTTAAAATATCTTAAATTAGGGGCTCTCAAAAAGAATCTACACTCGGCACAAAATTACCAAAGTGCTACTCTATGTTTTATAAATGATATGCCCAACTTTATAATTGTCTTTACTGGTAAATGAAGCATTCTTTTTCTGAAAGCAAATATACAGAGGTTTTAAAAAGTAGTGTACAAAGTATTGTTTGTTAGAGTGACCACTGTTCCACTGTGCTTACAAAAATGAGACTATACTGCAATAAAAATGTGCTTTCACCTTCAAGTCTTTCAAAAAATCTATTTTCTTAGAGCAGAAGAGATAAAGCTTTAACAAATTTTTTTATTCATATTCATCAAATTATCATAAATCAGTAAAGTATACTTTCTGGGGTTGTAGCAAATAAATAGGAAAATGAACAAGTTTCAGTATTATTTACATAGATTTTTAAAGAATTTTAAAAAAGTTTTCCTAGTGTACCTGGTCATACCAAGAACCATAATCCTGCTTGGTCCTTTCTTAGACAACACAATAAAATGAGTTCAAGGTTTATGTTTCTTTTAGACTCATATTTATATTTTCTAGAGAGGAAAAAAACTGAAAGAAGAGAAGGGGTAATGTTTGTAAACAGTAAACGTCCTGAAACAGAGCTCATTTCCCTTGAGGAGTTTGGAAGGGTTTCCAAGAGAGATTCAAAGTTCAACGATGGGAGACGAAGGCCGTGGAGGACACACTACAAACACAACACCATTATAGTAAAAGACACTGTCCACAATCATCTTACATTTTTTAATTTAAAAATATGTCTTCTCCCTTTTCCTTTCGTGGAAACTTTCTTTTCAGCCGCTGGAGCAGATTTGTATTTAGTGTTTCTGAGACGAGCAGATCTCCTGTGAATTTCCTGCTTACTCTGTTACATAAACAATTACAGAACAAAAAAAAAAATGAAAAGGGTAGCAAGGTTGCTATCTAATACAACCATTTATGAGCTTTCGAGTATACACTTTACACAGACATTTAAAAATTAAGAGTGCACCTTTTCCTTTTATTATGGGTAACTGCATGATCTGGAATAATTAAAAACACGGAGGGCCCGGCAGGCAAGCATCTCAAGTCTCCAAAAAGGTGTGTGCTACTTACAATAGGGCAGGGAGCAGGAGTAGGAGTAAATGTAGGCCAAGGCAAGAGCTATTCATTTGTTGCATTTCTCACAAAGAATTCTTAACTCAATTCGACAACGCCAGAGAACAGCGTAGGCAAGGCACCTGCTACGGTATTTACACTGTCACTTAAAATAATGACACGATCATCTTAATAACATAATGGCCAAAAAAAAAAAAAAATCCTTTATTAACAAGGAAAAAGTTCCAGTAACATGACCGTTTGCGTCTCTGGGTAAACGTGTGTATATCGGGTTGCCTGGTTGCTCCCCAAAATATTGCAATGGAGGAATGTCTGAAGGGTTTTTAATTTCCTTGCTTCTGCACACTTCCAATTTCTCACAATAACGAAAGGTGCTTCGAAAAGGCCGAGTCAATGAAGATCTAATCATGGCGGGAGGGGAGTGGGTGCGAAGCGGAGGAGACGACGCGGCCCAGCAGGTGCGCGGCCGCCCGGGAAGCTACGCCCCCGCCCCCGCCCGCCCAGCCCGGCCCCGCCCGCCCAGCCCGCCCCCGCCCGCCCAGCCCGGCCCCCGCCCGCCCAGCCCGGCCCGCCCGCCCAGCCCGGCCCCCGCCCGCCCCCGCCCGCCCGCCCAGCCCGGCCCCCCCGCCCGCCCGCGCGCCCCGCCCGCCTCGCGCCCCGGCGCCCCCGCCGGCGGAGCTCACCTGCTTGCCGCCCCCGCCCCCGTTGCTCTGCGGGGGGGCAGCCGAGGTGCTGGCGAAGGTCGCCGCGCCGAAGCCGCCGCCGCCGCTGCTGCCCCCCGTCCCGCCGGCCGCCCCCGAGCCGGCGCCCCCGCCGCCCGCGCCGCCCCGGCCCGTGCAGTGGTGGCAGAGGATCTCCCCCTGCGGGCCCTTCTTCCACATAGAGGACGACGTGGTCTTGCAGACGCTACAGGTGGGCTTCAGGCCCAGTGGCATCGTGGCCGGTTCGGGCGGCCCCCGCGGGCGCAGCGACACAGGAATGGCTACCGCCGGTCCCGGCCGCCCGCTGGCCGGCCCGCCACTCCCGGCGACAGGAAAACGGCGCGAGCGCCGAGCGGCCCACGCCGGGACCAGGCCGCGGCCCCGGTCCCCAGAAGGCAGGAAGGCGGTTCCGGCGGGCGGGGCGCGGGGCGCGGGGCGCGAGGCGGGGCGGGGCTGCCCTGGAGACGACGGCGCGCCTGGGCTCGGAGGAGGTTTCCGCGAATGCGCAGCCGCCCGCCTGACCGGAAGTGTCGCACCCGGAATTCCTCGGAGGCGGGACGCTCTGGCCGGCTGCCGCCGGGGCTGCCGCCGAGTATGCGCTTCGGCTTCCCGCCTACGGTTGGCAGGTGAACTACGGGGCACCCAGTTAAATCTGAATTTCACAAAAGCAACGAGTAACTCTTTAATATGAGAGTATCCCATGCAATATTTGTTATTTATGTGAAATTTGAATTTAAGTGGCGTCCTGTATTTTTATTGCTCAACCTGGCACTTAGCACCCTTAACAGTTATAATTTAGGCCTCCAAATTCTTTTGTCTGTATGGGTTGTAGCCATGAACATTGATGTATTGAAGCAGGCATTTTATTTATTTTTTATTTTTTTAAATAATAAATTTTATTTTTATATTCCCCATACAATTGCAATCCCCCCATTCTGAACCCCAATCCCTCCCCTCCCGCCCCCCACCCCCCCAAAAGTGTCTCTGGTTCATAGTTTTTTGTTGATTTTGATTTTCAGTTTCTTATAGTTATTCATTTTCCTGGTCCCTTATTTAAGTTTTCTAGATTCCTGCTATGAGTGAGACCATCCGGTATTTTTCTTTTTCCTTTTGGCTTATTTCGCTGAGCATGATCCCTTCCAGCGCCATCCATGTTGCTGCAAATTGCATGTGTTTATCTTTTTTGAATGCTGAGTAATATTCCATGGTATATATGTACCACATCTTCTTGATCCAGTCATCTATTTTTGGGCATTTGGGCTGTTTCCAGAGCTTAGCTATTGTAAATAGTGCTGTGAAGCAGGCATTTTAAAGCCTAAGGTGTCAGGTGCACATTCATTAGCCTTTGGTTGATTATGTCATAGTACATTTTGTAACCTCTGAATAGTATTCAGTAAGAAAATGAGAGCTGGCCTACACCCCAGCTCTTGTATGCATAAATAAATATTTAAAAAAGAGAGAGAGAATGAGAGTTAAAATGTCAACCTGGGTCTCCCTGGTGGCGCAGGGGTTAAAGACGCAACATATGAATCGGTCCGCAGCACGAGTTCGATTCCCGGCTGGCCAGGGGGAGACCCACATGGCGGGACAGACCTTTCCTGTCTCGCCCGCTGCTCCCCTCAGCAGTGTGCTTAAGTCCGTCTGCCTGTTCTGTTCCCCACTCTGTCTCTGGTGAATCCTCTCACCTCCCCCCATCTCTGGCCTGTACCCCAATTCTTGTATAAAAATAAATAAAACTTTAAAATAAAATAAAATGTCAACTCACTGGTTTGGCATTGATAGGAAACAGAACTGACCCTGAGGATCCCTGAAAGTGTCTTGAGATCTCCCTGGACCACACTGGAGAACAGCTTAGGACAAGCAAATTATGAAAAGCCAGATCCCTGTTATTATTGTCTAGTCAGTACAGGCCTTGCCAGGGAAATGAGTCTCTCTTCAACCTCACTTGATACAGCAGCGGTTGCATACCTGTTTTCCTGATCCTGGATTTTCTTTTTCTAGACTTGATATCCTTGAAGAAATCTTGGTGCATATATTTGTGGTATGCTGGGGTGCGGCGGGTGGAGGAAAAATGTATTGAACACCTATGATGTCAAGAAATCTATTGAATGCTTATGACAGCCCTGGAATGAAATGTGATTATCCCTATTTTAGTGTGATTTGATTTGATTTGGAATGGCTGTCCAGATGGCCACTGCTCTCGCTACCACCTCAAGGTAGGCTTTCAGGACAGTGTTGGGGTCATCTCCTCACTTGTAAGTCTAGATATCCCCAGGACTAGAAGGAAATAATAACAGTTATGGGAACTGTGACCAACTGTAAAGGTAACTAAGGAGTATAGGTATTGTTTCCTCGTTTTAGAACAGTGCACCCCAAGGGGAATCTAGATACTAAATTCTGTACTCTAATTTTCTTTCCTGGTAATCTTTGCACCTGATCTCAAGTTTCTTCCTCTCATTCACTACAAACTTTGGCTGCTGGCACACCTGCTGCTTCTCCACAATAGGACACCAACCTAGTCATCATCCACATGCATAACCTCCCTAGTGTTGCTATTTTTTAAAACAATCTTTTAAAATGATGTACAATACATTTACTGTAAAGTACCCAACTAATTCCTGCACACCTTAATATTCTCCTTTGGAGATAACTAGATGTGCAGTGCATCTTGCTTGTGCAACTATCTGGGTAGTTGGCTCTCATTTTTTGGCACTAACCAGAAGAAAAATTGAGTACACATTTCAGTGATTTTGGATCAGTGGGTTCTAAAGTACCAACAATATCTGAGACAGACACAACCATAACTTAATAAATGTGATCAGAAATGACTGAACATACAGAGCAAGGAGGCTGGACCTCTGAGGTGAGGTGGATGTTTTGTAAGGCTCCCAGTGGATACCAGAAGTCTACTTGCTCTGTGGGAATTCTCTTTGCCAATTGGTTATTACCTAGTGATTTTTTTTACTGGGTTAAATCTAAAGGAATTTTGAGATCACCTCCTCTATTTTAGAGTCCTGGGAATGTTTGCATGTAATGCAACAGTTTCACCAGACCTGTGTAGCAGACTGGTTACTGGGACTGCGATAAAGTATCATGAATTTAAAAAAGCTATAGGGGGCTATTTGAGGGGCTTGGTTATGATCCGCTATTGCTGCCCTGTGGGTTGTGTGAGCACTGACCTGAGTGTGAGTAACCTTCTTTCCACAACTTTATTGCAGGGCTGGGAGAAAGGCAATGGGACCCCCATAGTAATTTTTCTGGTCAGGAATTCTGGTGAAAATTAAACAGCTCTGATGTGGCCATTCTGTGACTATGAGAAAGCAAGTAATCATCTGCTGATGGTTGATAGATGTCCCACACTGCTGCCTCTCTGAAGACTTTTGCCCACCAAACCTAGACTTACAGGTGGACTTTAGACACATTTCAAGGTGCAAGATAGCACAGCACTTTGAAGCTGTCCGCAGCCTCTGTAGCACAAGTTTGATCCCCAGGCAGGGAGCAACCCACATGGCACAGCAGACCTTTCCTGACTCACCCGCTGCTCCCTCGGCAGTGTATTTCAGTGCATCTGCTTGTTCTGCTCCCCACTGTCTCTGGTGAATCCTCTCACACACACTCGCCCCGCCCCAGCACCTCCGCTCTTGTATACATAAATAAATAAATCTTTAAAAAAAATTACTTTTGAATTGGATCACTAGTAAAATGGTGATTGGGCTTAAGATTTGTGCTTCATGGGACTGTATCTCCCACTAGTCTCAAGTAATGTATCATTTACTACTAATAAAAACTTATATTTGAGTTTTAATTTAGAAAAAAATTTCATATAATTTCATTTAAATCTGACAATGACTCTGAGGTAAGATATTATTATGAAGAGAATATGATTACTGATTTGCAATTGAGAAAAATGAGGCTTAAAGAAATTGTTTAGGGCCTCCCCGGTGGCGCAGCGGTTGAGCGCTGGGTTGCGAAGCTGCCCGCAGCCTCTGCAGCTCCAGTTCGATCCCCGGCTGCTTCCCGGACACCGGAATAGGGTCCCGCATGGCGCGCAGACCTCTCCTGCTGCCCGCTGCTCCCCTCAGCAGTGTACTTCGGTCCTTCTGCCTGCTCTGCTCCCCGCTCTGACTCTGGCGAATTCTCTCACCCTCCCATTCTTCTGACTGTACCCAGTGCTTATATAAATAAATAAATAAATCTTTAAAAAAAAAAAAGAAATTGTTTAGCCAATGTCACATGGGTAAATAGTAAAACAGGAATAAAATCTAAATAATCTGCCCCTTTAAGTCTGCTTTTTATGGGATAACATGCTGATAGGTCCCAGTATCCTCATTTGCAAAAACAGAAAGATTAGAATAAAAGAATTTTATAGCTTCTTTGAATTCTAAAATTCAATTTTAACTGTGTAAGAGTTAGAAAAGTACAAAATAAAATTGAAAAAAATGCCTGTAACTTTTTACAAAACACTTCATAATTTATGGTACACTCTCTGAATCACTGTTCTCTCATTTAATCTTCTCTATTGCTAATCATGAATATTATTACTTACTAAAGAAATACAAAAGGGAAACTACCATAAAAATACATAGGTGCAGGGCCTCCCTGGTGGCACAAGAGGTTAAGCACCGCACTATGAAGCAATCTGCAGCCTCTGCAGCATGAGTTCGATCCCTGGCCGGCCAGGGAGCAACCTACATGGCACAGCAGACCTCACCTGTCTCGCCTGCTGCTCCCCTCAGCAGTGTATTTCACTCAGTCTGCCTGTTCTGTTCCCCGCTCTGTCTCTGGTGGGTCCTCTCACCCCCCGCATCTCTGGCCTGTACCCCAGCTCTTGCATGCATAAATAATAAATCTTAAAAAAAAAATATATATATAGGTGCACAACTCAAGAAAACATTCTTTTTCAAAAACTCAAGTCTTCAAAAGAAGCAAAACTCAAGTCTTCATATCTATTATTAAATTTTCAACATTTAAATTTAGTATAGTAACAATGTACACTATCTCACCTCCATCACCATCACCTGATCCTCTGGAAATAGGATCTTCTAATATATCCAGCTCAGCTAACATTCACACATAAAGTAAATTCTGTCTGAAGGACAATAAAATCTTTCATCTTGTAACAGCAACTGATATATCTTATTGAAATACATAAAATTATTCAATTATTAATACAATAATGTCCTAATTGTTTTTTCAAAAAGATTTCATAAAAGCTAGGTTGAAGTCTTGCCATAAAGAATCATAGACTCCATTTTTGCAAGATTTCAGCAACAAGACTATGCCACAGTGAAGATTTCCTTTGGTCCCTCTAGTAACTAAATTACATTAAGAAAACCCTACTGCAACACAAGTCACACGACAACAGGTTGTATAAAATGACTAGAGAGTAGTGGTCTCTAAGAAACAAGTTCACATAAAGGCTTAAGGCACATATTAAAATAAATTTGAGTTGGGCCTCCCCGGTGGCGCAGCGGTTGAGCGCCGGGTTGCAAAGCTGCCCGCAGCCTCGGCGGTGCCGGTTCGATCCCCGGCTGCAACCGGCCACCAGAGGAGGGTCCCACAAGGCACGCAGACCTCTCCTGCCGCCCGCTGCTCCCCTCAGCAGTGTACTTCGGTCCTTCTGCCTGCTCTGCTCTCCGCTCTGGCTCTGGTGAATTCTCTCACCCTCCCGCCCTTCTGACTGTACCAGTGCTTGTATAAATAAATAAATAAATAAAGTAATATAAAATAAATCTTTAAAAAAAAAAGCTAATTACACCCACATAGGAATGTGTATGTGTGTATATATTAAGAAAGATGTAATGATAAAATGTATATAATACCTTCCTTTGAATGTCATCAAAGATTTCAGGGCTACATCTACATGATTTAAAGTATCTACCAATTTTTCTACCAGCAGTCATCAAAGTAACTCTTGGAGATGACTAACAAACAGAAAAGTAATAGACAACAAACTGCTGACAATTGATGCCAACAGAGGTGGGAGACTTTCACCTTTCATTTTGTACTCTTTTGTATTATTTGTGTTGGTTTTGTTTTGTTTTGTTTTTAACCACATGCATGCATTACTTGTCCTCTCCCCCCCAAAAAAAAGCAAATGGAAAAGAAAATAAAGGTAGTAGTTTAGCCCTAAAAATGATCTCCAACTAGAGGTAGTGGCGTACAGTGGAAAGTACCTGGTTTCAGATCTAGCAACTAGAACTCCTCTGCAGCTCAGTTCCTCTCCTGTAAAGTAAGGATATGATTGCCTGTGTCAGGGTTGTGTGAAGAATTGATCAGTTGTTACACTTGGCACTTAATTCCTTTTTAAAAAAATTATGTACTTATTAATGCATAGATGAACTGGGCATAGGCCAGAGGTGTGGGGGGAGGGATGAGAGGATTCATGAGAGACAGAATGGGGAGCAGAACAGGAGGATTCACTGAAATACACTGCTGAGGGGAGCAGCTGGCGAATCAGGAGAGGTCTGCTGCACCATGTGTGGGTTATCTCCTTGGCCTGGATGAAGACTGAACCCAGGCTGTCTGGGGTGGGCCTTCACTGTACTAGGGCTGAGACTTAGTCCCTAGGCTACCAGGAGGCCCTTGGCAATTAATTCTAAGTCAGTAAGTGGGGCTTCTCTTCCATGTAGCAAAGCTATAATATTGCAAAAAAGCTTGGTCAGATGTATTAAAGAGTAGTAGAGCAGTTTGCAATAAGCACAAATAGGATTATCAGACAAGGAAGGGGGTCTTCTTGGGGGTGAGGGATGGGTGAGAGAAGAACTCGAGAAGGCACTGTCAACGAACACTTTAGCACAATCCCTTTGTCCCCTACTGCTGCCTCAGGGGAAGAATAAGGGGCAGCATGAAGCAGGCCAGGGCTTCCTGAGATGCAAAAAATAGTAAGAGATATTCAGCCTGGATTCAGGATTACAGTTCAGTTGAAGCACACAGAGACAATTTGGTACCTGTGGAGATATCTGAAAAAATTCTGCTGGTGTGTGTTAACTATGAACGCAGAAATATACACCTCTACAAGATATTAAAATTCACACTGTAAGAAAGGAGCAAAATTGAGCTCTCCAGCAGATTACCAGGGTGAGTAGGCAATGTAATTACCATGATTTAGGTGTTGCATGGTTCATCAGTAAACTCTTAGAATTAAGAAAAAGAGCAGATGTATAAAATATGTAACAGGACTGGCTATATGTCTTTTCCCCAGCCCCACGGCCCTTCAGCCTTGGGGTAGGTGTGATCTGTGGTGGGGCACTGTTATCATCATCCACCAGAAAAACCAATATGTGCTTTGTCATTAACAAATCTTATTTATTTAAAATAACTGTATGGAGGGCCTCCCTGGTGGCACAAGTGGTTAAGACATGGCCTGTGAAGCTGTCCACACCCTCTGCAGCACAAGTTTGATGGATCCCCGGCCAGGGAGCTACCCACATGGTGCAGCAGACCTCTCCTCTCTCGCCCGCTGCTCCCCTCAGCAGTGTACTTCAGTCAGTCTGCCTGTTCTGTTCTCCACTCTGTCTCCGGTGAATCCTCTCACCCCCCACACTTCTGGCCTGTACCCCAGTTCTTGTATGCATAAATAAATAAATCTTAAAAAAATAAAATAAAATAACTGTATGGACTGTTTCATTGCATCTTGGTGCTGCTTAGAAGAAGGTGCTGACCTGGTAGGGAGGACACTGGGTCCTCAGGAAGTCTTTTGCTACAGATACAGGACGCACTCCTGGACATGGAATTGGTTTTGAAGATTCAGGTGTACGCCTCCTGGACTTAACACAGAAAGTATTGGCTGCGGTCATTTGACCATTATGAGATTTGGCAGATGAACTTGAGAGCCCCTTTCCAGAGCAATGAGACCCCTAGCTTACTAGCCTCCAACTGCCGCTCCCCCCTAACTGTCGCTCAGAACTTTGCTTCTCAGTTGAAGTGCCTGTCTGTCCTTTGGATGACTGCTGGATTAGGAGTCAGAAGGCTTTTTGAGGACCCGGTGAAAGCCTCATTTTGTGATTCAGGCAGCAGTCAAATGTAATTTCATGAGGAAAACTAAGCTGCCTTTGTCTTTCATTTGTTTGGTTTTGAGAAAATCTTGCTGCCTATCGCCCTTCTGTTTTACAGGACAGCTGGGGAAGAAACCAATTTGGTTATCTGAGCATCTTTCATACTTCTCAGCTGTGTGCGAAGACTGATATCCCTAAGGGAGCTCCAGACTTCATCAAAAAGAGAAATCTTTCTTTCCTCTCCAAAATGTAAATCCTTTTAAAGATAGATAAATAGTAAATGCTCATTATAAAGATTCATACAATTTGGAGGGCATTCTTCAACTCTGGTTTGTTAGAGATAATCTTATTAATAGTGTGTAGTATATATCTTTCCAATCTCTGGAAATACAGAACTTTAACATCATCTTACTGAATGTTATTGCCTAACTTGACTCTTTTAATTCAAATACGAACTTTTGTTCTGTAAACTTACCACATCGGTTTATATGTATCTGCCTTTTCCTGCCAAAATTAATTTAACCATTCTCCCTAATGTTAGATATTTAGATAATATTTTAGATAGTTAGATGATATTTTAGACATTTAGATAATATTTATTTATTTATTTTTTAAAGATTTATTTATTTATTTATACAAGCACTGGGTACAGTCAGAAGCGCGGGAGGGTGAGAGAATTCACCAGAGCCAGAGAGGGGAGCAGAGCAGGCAGAAGGACCAAAGTACACTGCTGAGGGGAGCAGCGGGCGGCAGGAGAGGTCTGCGCGCCATGCGGGACCCTTCTCTGGTGGCCGGGGAGCAGCCTTGGATCGAACCGGCGCTGCAGAGGCTGCGGGCAGCTTCGCAACCCAGCGCTCAACTGCTGCGCCACCGTGGAGGCCCATTTAGATAATATTTAGACAATTTTTTTGCAGTTAACAAATAATGACTAATGTAATGATCTTCCTTATTCTTATTGATAGTTATGCCAAATTATTCACCCAACAATGTCTACATATCTGCCAACTCCTGTGAGGTTCTCAGGGTTGACTTGGCCATAGGATGGACAGGCTACATTGCTTAGGGACCATGATAATTTTAGGGGTCATGAAAACATTTTCTTTTAAAATGAGTAAATAATATTAATAAATATATTTTTATATTTAATATTTTATGTAATTAATGAATATAATTATCCAATGAAGCCATACTGGATTATGTATTTTATACTAATGCAGTCAGATTTCTTTGACAGCAAATGTGTGTGGGGCCCCAAAAGTCATAGTATGGACCTCGGTCATCCATTTCTCTATATTCTTGCAACTCTGAGAATTATCGTTTTCTTTTTTGCTAGGCAATTTTCACTTTCACTTATAATTCTTTGGTTATTTGTGGATTATCATATGTTAAACTTATTGACTTTAAATTTCCTGTGTGAATTGCATATTTATGTTCTTTCCACATCTTTTTATTGAGTTGCCCATCTTCTCCTTGTTAAAAAGTTCTTATAATATAGTAAATTTCACAAATTTTATAGTCACAATTTGCATTTCAGACTTATTTGTATCTTTTTGTAGTGACATTTAAAGTGTTTCTGTACTCCAAATCTGTTAAGTGTTTTTTATGGTATTTTTACAAAGACTTATACAAATATTCCTTGGTATTTTCTTATGGAATATCTATGACTATTATTATTTATGATGATATCTTTAATTTGGACAGAATGCATTTTTGTATGAGATGTTTTCCAAGTATAGCTAATTGTTCCAACACCATAGGACAAAATTTAAAATACCACTTTTATCAATATTAAATTCTCATATCTGTATGTCTGTTTCTTGAATGCCTTCCATTGATTTCATGGATCCATTTAACTATTGCTATGCTAGCGACACATTTTTAATTATCTAGCTTTATGATGTCTTGAATTCTGATATTTCTGATAAATCACCACTTCCCCCATGATCCTTTTCTTTCAATAGTTTTCTTCATTTCTCATGCATTTACTCTTTCTAATAAACTTCAGAGTTACATTTTCAAGTACTAAAAAAATCCCAATGAATTTTTTAATACTTAGGGATTAATTTGAGGAGAGAGGACATATTTACAAAAGTGGGCCTGCTTCTCTAAGAGCATGCTATTTTGTTCAGACTTTCTATTTACGCCATTCCTGGTTGGTCTTCAGATTGAGCCTTTGCCATCTCTGCATGGTAAAGTATGCATCTTTGCATGACTCTTTTTGTGGGACAGTAGGCCAGCAGCAGGGGCTTTCCTAAGTTTTCATGTCCCCATGAAGTGAAAACCCTTACCGTGGGCATCTCTGTTTTTGCCATTTTGGGGACCATTTATTACAAGTTTTCTAAGAACTGTGTTCTGCTGTAAAGTACTGTGGCAAAGTCCATTATAATTTCTTACCTGGATTTTAACTCTTTTTGCTTACTTGGGCTCATTCTTTTTTTTTTTTTTTTAAGATTTATTTATTTATGCATACAAGAACAGGGTATAGGTCAGCAGTGCAGGGGGCACTGTGAGAGTGTTCACCAGAGACAGAGTGGGGAGCAGAATAGGCAGTTTTACTGAAATACACTGATGAGGGGAGCAGCGGGGGGAGAAAGGAGAGGTCTGCTGCACCATATGGGTCAGCTACCTTGCCAGGGGGATCAAACTGATCCTGCGTGGCTGGCGAATAGCTTGATAATGCTGAGACTTTAACCCCTGCGCCAACAGGGATGTCCAACTCTGGCCCATTATTTACACTGTGCCCAGGGTGATCTTTCTGGTTATTAGAGTGCCAGGCCTCTGCTGGAAACCTTCAGTGATTCTCCATTGTATTAGTTATTTATTTCTGTTGTAACAATTACTACAAACTTAATTCCTTAAACAACACACATTTATTATCTAACAGTATTGGAAGTCAGAATTCCAAAATTAGTTTCACTGGGTTAAAATCAAGGTGTTAGCAGGACTGCATTCCTTTTTAGACGCCTGGGGGAAAGGAACATTTCCTTGGTTGTTCTAAATTCTAGAGGCTACCTGTATTCCTTGGCTCATGGTTCCTGCCTCTGTCTTCAATGATAACAACCATGTCACTTTGACCTCTACTTCTGTTGTCACATTTCTTTCTTTATGATCCTCTTGCCTGCCTCTTATATTCCTCTTGCCATGCAAAGTAACATATTTACAGGTTCCAAGAATTAGTATGTGGGTATCTTTAGGTAACTTTTCTATTCTGCCCCTCAAGTCAAGGCCTTCATGATGAACGTGGATTCCAGGCCCCCAATGACCTGTCCCACTACCCTTCTGTCTAACCTCCTTCTATTCTCACTCATGGAATTCCCTGTTCTGGTCACATGAATTTTCAGTTTCTGTGTTCTGTCTTCTCTCCTTCTTTCAGCCTTGTTCCAGCTGATTCCTCTGCACAGGAAACCTCCCTCCACCTCTTCACATTACTAATTCTTACTCATCTTTTAGCCTTGGCTTAATTCTCATTTTCTCTAGAACTTCTTCCTCCAGACTTCATTAGGGACTGTTACATCATCCTCCTTTTTCCCTGGCTCTGCTTACGTTGCCTTTTGTATGATTGATATTTGATTATCTTCTCTTCTAACCTGTAAGCTTTTTGAGGGCAGAGTTGACTGGGGCAGCTTCACACTTGGTACATAAGAGTGAGCTTATTAACTGCATGTTGAATGAGTTTATAAAAATATTAGTTTTATAACAGAATGAAAGTTTTTACTGTGTAGGCCTCATCTTGAAATTATTTGCTCATCACTGATTCAGCAAATATTTTCTAACCATTGATTTGGTAAGTTCTGAACCAGGGAGTTAAAGTTAAGAAAAAAACCATTGGAATGTTATAAAGTATACTAAAGTTGTAGTGGTGTGATCATAAAGGAAATGAATAACAATTGTTCCCCTCCAGGAAAATGGACTTGGAAGTAGTTGAACCAATAGACTTTAGCTGTGGAGATCATCAACAGCTGGTTCGGAAAGCAGCGGATCACAATACCCAGAGCCAAGCTAGTCAGCCCTACAAAACCTCACCTTCACCTGAGCCAAAAAATCCTCATGAGAAGCCACATGCAATGACTAGTGAGCAAGCAAATGTGTATGTGGTACAAATTTCAGAGGACACCACTCAAGAAGACATCATTAGCCATCCATTCGTAAATTCAACTGTCCGTAGAGGTGAGAACAAAGAAAGCAACTTTTTGGGGTTTTTTTTAGAAGAGAAAAGCAAACGTTTTCTTAAAGTCTTTCCACAGAGAGATTTTTCAGATTTTTCAGATTTAATTTTTCTGTCAGTTTTTCCCAGTTATGCTTTACCATGACACATGATGCAGGGCTTGCTGTAGTAAAAAGCTCCCAAGTTGTCCAGGGCATGTAGAAATTGATAATAAACACATTTGGTGAATAATTGACCTTTATTCCACCTTTATTCCTTTATTCCTTTATTTACTTCTGCTGAGTCTCCTTTCACCATTGCAGTGGATGTCCTTATGGTTTTCACAGGAAATAGGAATTAGTCATTGATTGTGGAATGTTCTTACCTACATTCAAGATGATGCCATAGTGTTCACTTAAAGAATATTAATTCAATGATCTAGGTATTCTGTGTAAGTTAGCAAATATTTTCAGCTGTGAGTAACAGAACACTAAAATCTCTGGCTTAAGGAAAAGATTTGTGCTTTTTTTTTCTCTCCACAGACTTTCCCAGTAACCAAACCTAAGTACTTCCAGTTACATGCATGGACCCACGTGTATCCGTAGCTTTCCAGTTGGCCACTCTATCTGTAGCTTTCCAGTTGGTCCCATGCAACTATAACAAAATTTGGGGTGGGTAGTGAGGAAGCTGGGCACCCTGTGCAAAGGGAACATTATTGCATTTAGTCTTTATAGCACCCCATAAATAAATTGTGGTTCTGTTTTACAGCTGAGAAAATGAGGTTTAAGGGGTTTGTAATGGAAACAACATATGAAACTGTCTCACCTCTGTCACAGTTAGTTATTTGAATCTCTCTCTCCTGGAGGGCAGAGGTCCTTCCTCACTTTTTTTTTTTATAATAAATTTTATTTTTATATTCCCCATACAATTGCAACCCCCCCTTCCTCACTTTTTAAAAAGTATATAGTACACAAAAGGATAAAAGTGCTATCGAGGAAAAGAATAGCTCAGTCCCATTTCTTGTAACACTTTCTAGGCACAGAAACCACCCAGCAAAAGCACACAATTGATGATTCTATAAGTCAACTTTAAGCAATATTATTTCTTTTCTTTCCCACTTGAAGATGGGACAAAACCACAAAAAATAGTCATTACCAGCACCATTGTCAGAGGGCCCCAAGAAAAACTGGGCAGTAGGAGGTAGGCACAAGATGCCAACATACTCTACACTCTGCATGCCATCTTCTCGGTCTTTATATTTCATCTGGTTATCTCGTTTTCTGCACAAGTAAAAGGGAAGGGAATTCTAAAGGTAGGTAGTCTGAAAGAAAAGTGATGGAAACATTCTGCATAGTTCCTGCAGCCCAAGTTCATCACCAGAGGGATAAATGGCCTCTTTATCAGCAGTTCCTGGGCATCACAGTGGCATGGCCTCTTCACCAGCAGTTCCTGGGCATCACAGTGGCATAGCTGGATCTCTAAAAATGGGCCTGTGACATTCCATGACTTGCAGGTCACTTTTGGTCATAAGCAGGATGGGCTATACATAAGGAATGAAATCCCTGAGTTTGTCTTTAAATTTTGGAACCTTCCAAGAATAAGCACTCAGCTCTCCAAATAAAATGCCTCTAATGTCTGTTCCAAAAGTTCTGCAGGGCTGTATTTTTTGCTATTACACTGTTTCACTCCCTTTTCCATCCTCAAAAAATCAGAGGAAAAATTTCTCCCATCAAGTATCAAAATTAGGTAATTACATTTATAGTTTTAGTTTTGAATATTATGTTCTAAAAATACCTATGTCTCTTCAGATTTCATTACAAAAGTGTTCCTCATCCTGTCAGTCCAGTTGATGATCACTGGGACAATCACCAGCACGTTTATTTTCTGGTAAGTTTTATTACTGATATAAATTAAATATTCAGCTTTTCACATAATTTCCTGTTGAATTAGTTCTACTTTTTGATCACTAAAATTATCTATTTTTCTTAATCATTTATAGGATATAAGATTTCTATATTTTGTTTTTCTGAGGCAACTCCTACAGGTGTTGGTAGATTTCTAGAATTTTACTTCAATTTCCTAAGCCAAGAACTTTTTTTGTTTGTATTTTGGGTACTGTTTTCTTTTTTTATATTTCTCCGAGCTATTTCCACAGATAAAACTGAATTAAAGGGGAAAGGTGAGATTATGGAGATTTTGGAGGGTGGAATACTGTTAAATTATTCAGGGACTATGGGCCATCTCTGTTTTAAACACATTCCATGAAAATTTCTATCAATATATGAGAAGTTTATGTCGTTTGTTTTGTACACATATCAATCGCAGTGTTTTTTTTTAAAAAACTAAGTTTTTAAAACTTCACTGGGACATTTGCATTTATGTAAACATGACTAACGACTTATTATAACTATCTTTTTATGAGTCTATTTTATGAAGCAAGATCTTGTCATATGTTTTATTGTTTTCTTCCCCATCTAACATTATCAATTATTTAGGGTTTTCTCCCTTTCTTCTCATGAGATTGTTTTACTTCTACTTAAATAGTATATTAGTTAGTGGGCCTCCCTGGTGGTGCAGTGGTTGAGCGCTGGGTTGCGAAGCTGCCCGCAGCCTCTGCAGTGCCGGGTTCAATTCCCGGCCCCTGGGCAAGAGTCCCACATGGTGCGCAGACTTCTTCTGCTGCCCCCTCTTGCTGCCCGCTGCTCCCCTCAGCATTGTATTTTGTCAGTCTGCCTGCTCTGCTCTCCCCTCTGGCTCTGGTGAATTCTCTCACCCTCCCGCGCTTCTGACTGTACCCAGTGCTTGTATAAATAAATAAATCTTTTAAAAAAATAGTATATTAGCAAAATAAAGTACTTACTGTGCAAACTTATGCTAATTTTTTTTAACCAGGAAGACTTTAAGAAATTGGGTGAGTGTGAATGCCTGGTTCACCTATGCACTCTTGTAAGTATTAGTGGATTTAATAAGAAGTGATTTTTCTACTGGTTATTGATTCCTTTACCTATTAAAATTTAGGTGAATGTATAACATCCTTGAAATGCAAAAATTATAGCAAGAAAAGTGAAAATAAGCAAATGAGTGATCTTCAGGAACTAACTATATATACCACTGAGTAGACACCATATTTTCCTAATCCACTGATCTATCTTTGGGCGCTTAGGTTGTTTCTTTAACTTGGCTGTTGTAAATAATGCTGCAATGAACACATGAGTGCAAATATCCCTTCAAATTAGTGTATTTATATTTTTTTTAGTAGATCCCTAGGAGTGGAATTGCTGGGTCATATGGTAAATCTGTTTTTAACATTTTGAGAAACATCCATACTGTTTTCCATAGGGTCCAGACAGTCTACATTCCCACCAATGTGCACGAGGGCTCCTATTTTCCACCTCCTCACTAACATTTGTTGTTTCTGGTCTTTCTGATTCAAAACAAAAATTTTATTTTATTTTATTTTATTTTTACTAATTTAAATATTTTATTTTATATAATTCTTACATCTTTGCACAATATATGCATTTTCATTTTGGTTATATTCCCCATACAATTGCACCCCACCCCCCTTATTTTGACTCCAGTCCTTCCTTTCCCCGCCCCTCCCCCACTCCACCCCCGTAGAGTGTCTCTGGTTTATAGTTGCTTGTTGATTTTGATTTTTACTTTGTATTGATTAGTCTTTTTCCTGGTCTCTTATTTAGGTTTTCTAAATTCCTGCTATGAGTGAGACCATCCGGTATTTTTCTTTTTCTTTCTGACTTATTTCACTGAGCATGATCCCTTCTAGCTCCATCCATGTTGCTGCAAATTGCATGTGTTTATCTTTTTTGAATGCTGAGTAATATTCCATTGTGTATATGTACCACATCTTCTTGATCCAGTCATCTATTTTTGGGCATTTGGGTTGCTTCCATAGCTTAGCTATTGTAAATAGTGCTGCTATAAACATAGGGGTGCAGGTGCCCTTTGGAATTACTGTTTCGGTGTCCTTTGGGTAAATACCTAGGAGTGGGACTGCTGGATCATATGGAAGCTCTATGTTTAGTAGGTCCAGAAATCTCCACACAGCTCTCCATAGTGGTTGGACCAGTTTGCACTCCCCCCAGCAGTGTAGGAGAGTTCCTTTTTCTCCACAACCTTGCCAACATTTGTTGTTGATAGTTTTTTGAATATGTGCCATTCTCACTGGTGTCAGATGGTATCTCATTGGAGTTTTGATTTGCATTTCCCTGATTACAAGTGATGTTGAACATTTTTTCATATGCCGGTTGGCCATTTGCATTTCTTCAGAGAAGTTTCTTTTTAGCTCTTCTGCCCATTTTTTGACTGGATTATTTTCTTTGTTTTTGTTGAGTCTCATCAGCTCTTTGTAGATTTTTGTGATTAGTCCTTTATTGTTAGTGTTGTGTGCAAAAATGTTCTCCCTGTCGGTGGGGTTTCTCTTTGTTTTGGTTATTGTCTCTTTTGCTGTGCAGAAGCTCTTTAATTTGATGTAGTCCCAGCTGTTTATCTTTGCCTTCACTTTCACTGCTTTGGATGATGTGTCTGTAAAGATGTCTTTGATGTGCATGTCATGTAGTGTTTCGCCTATATTTTCTTCTATGTATTTTATGGTTCAGGTCTTATGTCTAGTTCTTTAATCCATTTTGAGTTGGTTTTTGTGCATGGTGTGAGGTAGTGGTCAAGCTTCATTCTTTTGCATGTAGCGACCCAGTTTTCCCAGCACCATTTATTGAACAAACTTTCTTTGCTCCAGTGCATATTCTTTGCTCCTTTGTCAAATACTAGTTGACCATAAATCTGTGGGTTTATTTCTGGGTTTTCTATGTGTCTGTTCTTGTGTGTCTGTTCTTGTTCCAATATCATGCAGTTTTGATGATTATGGCTTTGTAGTATAGTTTGAAGTCTGGGAGTGTGATGCCTCCATTCCCTTCTTTTTTTTTTTCAGAAGAGCTTTGGCTATTTGGGGTTTTTGGTGATTCCATATGAATTTCATCAATAATTATTCTATTTCTTTGAAGAATGTCATTGAAATTTTTATTGGAATAGCATTGAATCTGTATACTGCTTTTGGTAGGATGGCCATTTTGATGATGTTAATTCTTCCAATCCATGAGCAGGGGATGTCTTTCCATTTCTTTGTGTCTTCTTCTATTTCTTTTAACAGTGTTTTATAGTTTTCTTTGTACAGCTCTTTTATCTCTTTTGTTAGATTTATTCCCAAATATTTGATTTTTTTCAAAACAAAAATTTTAAGAGAAGAATCCATAAGCTGTGTCTATAGATGACAATAAGAACAGTTTTAAAAGTTTTTGAAAAATAAAACAGTAAAAGTAATGTTTTATTTACTTTATAAATACTTACAAAGATATTACATAATGATTAACTATCATCTACTAATAATGTATTATATTATATAGTCACTGGAATCAAATAACACATGGTTTTAAATTATCCTCAGGCCAGCATTTTTTGTTATACTTATTATACTTGCTTGCTGTGGCAAACTACGTCGTCAGGTGCCTGCAAATTACATTCTCCTGGGATTATTTGTAAGTAAACTTTTCCTAGCACTCATTGTTGCTCACATCTGACATGTATTTCAAAAGGAAGTGAATTTATTCCTTTTACTGTGGATAATATTCCTGTGGAATAATACAGATATTATTTTGGACAGGTTCTCTTGGCTGAATTCTGGTTGCAAAAAAGTAAAGATAGCATAAAAAAGTGAGATAGTATCCACACTCTTTTAATTTGGGAGCCCTGGGATACTCCTTTCTTTAGGCAGATTTGCCTCAGAGAGGCCACCCTGGGAAATCCCCTCTTGGCTTCTGGGCCACGTCTTAGGAACAGATAACCTGACTCTCCCTGGACCTCTGTTTGGTACAACAAACATTTGGTTATGGAGACTGGGTTCCACATTTAATTTGCAAACTCATGTGCAAAAAATGCAATTTTCTTTATAACATTTATTTTTATTTCAAGTCTCACTGGAAGCAGAATTTGTCTCAGTCAATATTCTCTTTATCCCCCCATCCTTGCATTTCAATTCTGGGGGGGTTTCTCATCTTTGACTCATCTCATTTATGCATGGTCTTGTTCCCAATTCGCTAACACCTCGGTGTGGGGCTCCCATTCCAAGGCCTGGCCGTGGCTTTATTTTGCCTGGCAATCAGAGCCGCTCTTGCCACAGAAAGCTGCGTGACTCCCTTCCTGCTGTCAGTTCCTTTCTGTGTTGCCCCCAGGAACTACAGGATCTCACCAGTCCTCAGCAGATACCCGGAGCCCCTAGATTTTATAAACCTGAATAAAATCTGGATTTCTGTCATTTTACCCCCATCCCAATCCACAGGTTAACTACCTAGAAAGTCAGGGACTCAGAAGCATCCAAGAATCATTCTTTTTCCCTCTTCCCAGTCAGACAAAACCTCTTGCCTCCCTGTGGCGGGGGTTCTCTGAAGCTCATGATAATAAGCATTTGGTTCTCTTGGGAAAACACAGACCAGGCTTGTTGATTAAGTGTGTCAGCTAATGATTCTTTTGGGAGTTTGCTTTTCCTCCTGGGTACCAATGACCCCTTTCATGTGAAGATTTCTTTGATTTATTCCTCCTGGTTCCAGATCAGATTTTAGGTAATTTATACACATAGTCTAAGAAGGTAAGATAAAGTGATGAGGAAATTTGATTGAAGGGAAACTAAGGGAAGAAATGGAAAGTCAGTGCTTAGGCAAGTGCACAAAACCTCTGTACTTGAGCATGATGGGTCTAGATTTGGACCTGCACCTCCTAGTGGTGAAAACAATCAAAGACACATGGCCAGTGGTGAGATTCTCAGCATCCAGTGTGAGTACATGTTGGGAAAAGCATCTTCCTCTCAAGGCTGAAGATGCCTACATTTGGGAATTTTTTTCAGCACCAGAGCATTCTGGGGCCTTTCTTAGCTGGTTTTGATACCTGTCCATTGCCCAGGTAAGCAAGTGGGTGAGCAGGTGGGTTTCTTCAGTTCCCTTATTGGTAGTACCTATAACCCTCAAGATGGGGTAGAGTTAAACAGCAGACATAGAAAGATATTGGGAATCCTGGGACAGAGGTGATGGTGTGGGGAATATTTTTTCAGAAATTTCTTATTTTAAATTTACCAGTGATTTTACTGTTTATTACAAGAAGAGATCAAAACTCTTGGTGTCAAAACTCTTGGTCTCACTCTGAGATTCTGCTGATGCTCCCAAAGCAATTAGCATCTTAAGAAAAGAAATATTATAGAGAGGCAAATAGTTACGGTTTCTAGACTTAATGTCTTACTCAAGTGTTAGGGAATACAAGGAGAAAACTATTTCAGAAAAGGAGTTGTGGGGTGGGGGCGTGGGGAGAAAAAATACATGCTGAAGATTGCTTTTGTCTCATAGAATTTAGGTCCCCCTGCATGTTATAAGCTCTTGAAGTCATCGGCAGGTTGGCCTTCTAAGGCCTCTTGTTACTCACACTCTTACTCCTTAGAAAACTGCAGTGGTTTCCATCTTGAAATCATTCCCTTTCCCACGCATTTTCTCATATTCATCCTCTCTCTCTCTCTGTCTCTCTCTCTCTCACACACACACACACACACACACACACACACACACATATTCAAACACTTCTTTCAGTGCTGTTAAGATGGAGATATATGAAGCAACTGAGCAAGCACAAATAGAAAGTTAATTTAGAGAGGAAGGTCGGAAGAAGCATATTATGAAAAATCATGTGCAAAAAAGAGTTACACTCTTTTGACACCCAATGGAAAGAAAGACAGTCTACTTTGCTAAGTGTAATAAAGCAGAGGATTAGGTTTGAGAAATTGAGAGAGGCAACCCAGTACTCTGGGAACTCCTGTTCTTTTTCAGTCTCCAGTACCATTTATTGTTGGCCAGATGGAGAAGTTCAAGCCCCTCTTGCAGTCCTCGCTCTCTAAGTAAATTGTGCACTCAGTTTTACTTCCTGAAACAGAAGGTTTCTTTCCTGATTTTAGCTGTACACCAGAGATCAGCCGAGTCTTTGGATTTGCTTCTGACAGAGTCCTTCCAGCTGTGGGATGTCCTCAGGCCTTGTAGCCACTGCTCACTGAAGTTCCCATGTGGCTTTGCCCACTGTCCTGAACCCTGACAGTGGGCTTGGGCACATCCTCATTAACTTTTTGGATCTTATCCTCCAGTTCGACTGCCTGCTGGCTCTCAGCCTCTCTCCCACTCTGCCCCAATATTGGGTCCATTTGGACAATTGGGGGCCTATTATATCCCAAGTCGTGGGGGTGCCCACAGGTGCACCTCCAGGAGCTGTAGGTTAGGGCCCTCTGGCCCCTCCCCTGGTACTGAGAAGGCCTCAATTTTCATCACATTTCTATGGTTTGAAGTATTTTATTCTTACCTGAGCACTGTGGAAATGAAACTGTTGGTAAAATATTAATAGAAAGAGTATATTCTGCCTGTGATGAAATGTTAAGATTCTGTGTGATGCCCTCATTTAATACCCATGTGGTCTACCAATGGACCTTTAACCTTGATTTCACATACCTAATTAATACATGTTTAATTCACTAAACATGTTGAGTTACTGTGGTGTTCTAAGAAATTTTTACTAATAAAAGGAACTTTTCCTTGTCAGTCTTAGGGAGGATATTATGGAACTGTTCAGTTTTACTATTCCTTTCCCATAATCAGCCACCTGCAGTTTTGTGCAGGTAGGTTGTGCGATTCTCTCTTGCTCACTGGACCCTGCCAAAATGCACAGAGCTCAAATTACCACCTCTGCATTCTGGGCTTCAGGAGTCAGGTTTCTGATTTGCTGTGAATTTTGTTTTTAGACAGTGCTGCAAGGTATGCTGCTAGGAGCCGTATCAGTGTAAGTCTTTGTACACATTCTCTTTTTGGGGTGTCCTTTCCTTTGAATGTATGTGAACAGTAATCACAGTCTCTGGTTTTAGTTTCTATGAGGTCAATGAAGTGCTGTGGGCAACAGCAGCAACAGCTCTGGTGACATTATTGCTCACTTTGTTTGCTCTTCAAACAAAAGTAAGTATCACTGAGACAGGTTTCTTTCACAGGGGGTGTGGGGAGACATTCCTTTGCCCTTCCTGATCCCTCCTTCTTCCTCCTCCCTCTTGTTCTCTGCTGTGGCCTCAGCCCCATGGCCTCCTTCCCTTCTGGCTTCCCATGGGGTTGTGCCTTTGAGTAGCCCCTGATAGAGACTAGAGGGAGACAGGAGAGAAGTAGGAATACTTATTCCTATGGCTTCCCCACAACAGATTCCTCTTGGGATAGTCACCTGTGTTCTTTAATCAAATTTGCTGCCTGTCTCAGATATTCAACTCAGTGGAAACTCCTGGGCTTCCTTCCTCTGCCATTTGGGCCAAGGAGCAGTAACAATTTTCCTAGTTCTAGCTTAGTTTTATGACACTACCCTGAATAAAAAGTTATACTTTTTTTTTTTTTTAAACCAGAGCGCAGGTGTGCAAAGATTTCCCACAGAACATCATGTAGCTCAGGACTATCCCACTTTAGCTATAAGTCATAATCTCTGCAGTGATCAGATGCTCCTAGATTTGATATTTTCAGCAACCCTTTCCTTCAGTTCTGCCCATTTACCTTCCTTTAGTAAATGAAAGACTTACTTTAGTTAGTTTAGTAACTTACCCAGGAAGGAGTATGTTGTCTAAATTGGTTGGCATTCATCTTAAGAAAGTTATTATACAGATGCAGAATTTTAGTCTTTACCTGGTGGAAAAAGAAAGAAGTATGAGAGACACAAAAAAATCTACTAGATAGTCAAATCTTATCAAAACTTAAAAAAAACCTTATTTAGCCCAGCCTGATTTGGTCACTTATTTATAAAAATAAATGTAAAGGCATTTTAATAAATTTCAAAATTACAAAAGAATCACCCAATAGTTTTTGAAAGGCTGTTATACATACATTTTTTGCCAATATATGTTGTGTGTGTGTGAAAGATGTATCCAGTTAACATTGGTTTATTTCATTAATTTATTCCATGCACACTTGCTTTTAAAAATATGAACAATTATGAACAAATTTATATCCTACTTATATACTTTTTATTAGGGGATATTTCATATAAATACAAAAATAGAATAGCATGTTGAATCTCCATGTACTCCTTTCCCAGTTTCAAAATTTATTAACTCATAGTTCCTATTATTTCATCCACACTCCTACCCTTATCTCCCTCCTGAAGCAAGTCCCAAACAATATAACTCTTTTTAGGTAGCATTTTTCAGTAGTGGATTCTAATGGATTTCCATAATTCTCAGAATTGGCCAGGGTTTATTATCAGGAAATTAGATGATTTCTGTCCATGGATTATAAGCTATATCTCTCAGCTTCCTGAAAATCCATATGGGTGATAATTTGAGATTTTTTTTTTTCTGTTTATTTTTCCTCAGTGGGATTTCACCTTGCTAAATGGAGCACTGTTCGTTTTACTCTGTGTACTTGTTATCTATGGAATTCTCTTACTCTTCATACAAACATATGTAAGTGCTTATCTCATTTGGAAAACTCAAAGAATTGTTAGAAATAAAGGGTGAAGTGCTGGCTTATGTGAGTCTGCATAAGAATAAAACACCAAAATGGGTGAAATGTTCCAGGACTTTAAATGGGTAAAGCTGGGGATAGTGGGACCTGGGGAGAGGAAGAAGCTGACTAGAATAATTGGCAGGCCAGGGTAGCATATCTGACTCCTAGGGAAGGGGAAGGAAGGAAGGTCAGGCCAGGTGGGTATGGTGTTTTCTAAGGAAGGTTCAGCAAGGCCATCAGGGAGTGCTTGAGCTAAAGTAGACCATCACAAACTCGAAGACATTATTACATCACAGTGATCCCCTTTGTCCCAGGAAGGGCCCAGCTGCTCCCGGCAAATGATAGGGAAGTGGAAACATGACCCAGGAGCAAACTGCAGTGAATTGCAGAACAGAGCTGCCAGAGCTCTTGGTCAGTCACACTCCATTCCCGGCAGCATGAGGTCCGTGAGGCCTGCCACACTGGTATGTTTGGGAGGAACCTGAAAATTGAGCTCCTACCCTAGATGCCAACTGTCATTCCCTAAGAGGACCTTGGGATGTATCTATATGCAGGCCAAGTAAGAGTCCACCAAAAATGGATGCTGCTTATCTGAAGTGAGAGAGTGGAGATGGGCTTGTTCTCACCTTCCCAACAGCAACTTACAAGGGACAACTTATTTTTTAACTGAAGCCCCTTCTTTTTCTTTTCCTTATCCTCATCATTTTAAAATATTCATTGACCTCTTACTGCATACCAGACTTAGGCCCATGTGTTTTTCACATAGGCATCACATTCTCACATTCCTGAAAAGTACATATCTTACCTATTTTATAGATAAGAAAAAACCAGGCTCAGAGAAATGAAACAACTCATCCAAGTTCACACAGGGTGTAAGTGGAAGGCGTGAGATCAAAGCCAGAATTGTGACATTCCAGTGCCCATGCTCTTTCCACCCCATTGCACTACCCATGGACTGAGACTGGAGGGAGTGTGGAAAGGCAGAGGTGTGGTTCTCCCCATGCTCTGTGAGTGGCTCCTCTGTGGAGACCCTCCAGAAGGCCAGGTCCACTGAGGACTGGCCTGGGGCCTGTGATCATTTGGCTAACACCTCAAGGCCAGCTTGGTCCTATTGCTGAATTGAAGAGTTTCTTTGGGAATAAGTAGACTTGTGAAATGATCTTGAGGCATGTAATCAGAAGTTCTGCCCGGAGTGGTTTCGGTGTATGTATGCTACACAGGTGTATAGCTTGGGAGGCTATATTAGAGATAAACTCAATGACATTACAAAGCTGTGCCACAGGTTAAAAGGTCTTCAAAGGCCACAGCTCTCCATTTATCATTATTGATAAATATTGGTATTAATAATACAAATATCAGGTGGGTGCCATAGGCCTTTACCACACCTCTTAAGTGCAGTTAAGAAACTGTATTTCCTACTAGACACAAAACCCTGGTTTCTTCTGGGGAAGAAGAGTCAGGATTCACAGGAATGGGAAACCCACCTTTCCCTTTGGAGCTGAGTTGATTGGTCACCTCTGCTTGTGCAGCACCAGCTCCAGCACTAGCTACTGATACAGAAGCCTCGCTGCCTGGATCCCTCATCCCGAGAATATATTTCTGACTAGTCAGGTGCATCCATCCCTGCTTAACTCCTCTCACATATAAGACTCCTGGCCACTCAAGATATTCACTGCTATTGAAGTAGGTGTTTTCCACCTCTCGTCAATCAGCTCTAGCTAGGATGTGTGAGGGTCATTATGTCACCAGAGTTATCTACGTGTTCCAAGAGCTGAGAGTATGGCAGATTTTCTAGACAGGCATATGGATGGGGCAAAAAGTGAAACATACCTAGTACATTCTACTGGCCCTACCATGCATGAGGTGTTTAGCACTTACTTGATGAATATTATTTGGCACATGCAAAGCTAGTTTTCATCTTGCTGAATGGTATTAAGTGGGTACTGTTTACCATGTTCAAGATAAAATTCACGCACAGATTTGAGCTTTCTTAATATTTGGGCCCTTTTCTAACTCAGTAACCTAACTAAATCCTGTTCCAGTTATACACTTGTTTCTTTTTTCAGTGGTTGCACCTTATTTATGCTGGACTTGGAACTGTGCTCTTCTCACTTGTAAGTTCATTTCTCCCTCTCTTTTACTAAGACTATGATACATGCACTGAAGAAGCCCCTTAGCCCTTAAGTTAGACCTGGAGGCAAGTGGAATCAATAATTCACTGAAAAGTACTCCAGACAACTTACTTCCCCCATTTCCCTCCTGCTCCACTTTCCTTTTTCTCCTTCTTTTATTTCTCCTCCTCCATTTTTTTAAATGAAGACCAAAAAATTTAGAAAAAATTTAGGTTCACAATTATACCTCCTGCCCCCATACATGGAGGGCCTCCTCTTTGTCAACATCACTCACCAACTGGTACATTTGCTACAACTGATGAACATGCATTGATCCATCATAATGACCCAAATGCATAGTTTATATTAGGATTCACTATAGGTAATTTACATTTTATGACTGGCTAAATGTATTAAGGACTATTCCGTTATAACAACATATTGAGTATTTTAATTGCTCTAGAAGTCCTTTGTGCTCTTATGATTGGCCCCTCCCCCAACTCCCGGTAACCACTGATCTTTTTAGTTTCCAAATTTTGCCTTTTCCAGAATGTCTTATAAATCATAATCCTATAGTAGCCTTTTCAGATTGGCTTTCTTCACTTAATACACACTTAAGACTCTTATGCCTTTTCAGGGCTTGATAGCTGATTTATTTTCAGGGTTGAATAGTATTCCACTGTCTGGATGTACCAATTTGCTTATCCAGTCACTGCTGAAGGGCATCTTGTTTGCTCCTAAGTTTTGGCAATTATGAATCAAGCACCTATAAACAGCCTTATACAGATTTTTGTGTGGACATAAGTTTTGAACTCCACTGAGTAAATACCGAGGAGCATGCTTGCTTGATCATATTTAGTTTTATAAGAAAATGCCAGATTGTGGTCCCAAGTAGTTGTACCATTTTGATTTCCACTAGCACTAAATGAGTCTTCCTATTGCTCCATATCCTTACTAGTATTTGGTGTTGTCAGTATTCCAGATTTTGGCCATTCTAATAGGCATGCTGTAGTAGCTTGTTATTTTAATTTGCATGTCCTCATATATGGTGTAGAGCATCTTTTCATATGCTTGTTTGTCACTGGTATAGCATCTGTTAAGTTCTTTGACTCTTTAAAAAATCAGATTGTTTTCTTCTTGTTGAGTTTTAAGGTTTTTTGGGGGGTATATTTAGGGTAACATTCCTTTATCAGATGGGTCTTTTGCATATATTTTCTCCCAATTTGTGGCTTGTCTTTTTAATCTCTTGACATTGTCTTTCACAGAGCAGAATCTGCCTTTAATTTGAATGAGGTTCAGTTTACCCATTATTTCTTTTACGGATCATCTCTTGGATGTCTTATCTAAAAATTCATCACCATAACCAATGTCATCTATATTTTTTCCTGTATTATCTTCAGCTCATTTTAGTCTTAACTTTAAGTCTATAATCTATTTTGAGTTGATTTTTATGAAGAATGTAAGATCTGTGTCTTAATTTTTTGCATGTGGATGTCCAGTTATTTCAGCACCATTTGTTGAGAAGACTATCTATCCTCCATTGTATTGCCCCTGCTTCTTTGTTAAAGATCTGTTGACGATATTTATGTGGGTTTATTTCCGATCTATATTGCCTGACTACACTTGTTTAAAAAAAAAAAAAAGGAAAAAAGAGCGCGTGCATAAATTCTGAAAGACTTCAAAAGACAGTTAACAGTTCTATTTTGTTACATTGATCTATTTGTTAGTGCTTTACCAACACCACACTATTGTGATACTATTATGGTTAAGTTTTAAAATCCAGTAGCACTGGTTTTCCACCTCAAATATATAGTTCTAAAATGGGTCATTTTAAAGGCTCATTAAAATCGAAGAATTCTCCATAACGTAACCATAAATAAGGTGAGGAGCTGCTTGTTCTCTCTTTCTCCTACTGTGCTCTCATTGCCAGGTTTGCTCACTTTGCAACAAACACAAGGATGCGTCGGCTCTCTGATTTCTTGTTCTGATATTTTAGGAGCTCACAATTTTACCTATTGCAGCTGAGTTAAAATGTTTACGTTGAGGGTTATTTAACCAAAGATACATCCCATCTTCACTTCATTCTATTTTGGATACACTGACATCATCACAAAGCTACTCCAATGTCAAGATTTGGAAAATGCTATCACCCGAAGCGCCAAAAATTCAGAATTAATGCTATGTAAGAATCTAAATGTTAGGGACACATCTTATTTTAAATTTTTTTTCAGTGAGAACATGTAGGAAAAATACAAATATGAGGCATTTTATTGTTTCTCTGTTCAATCTGCCTACCTTGTCCACATCATTGACTACAGGCACAAAGCCTTCTGGACTTGGACAAAGCACAAGAAGGCTCACAAGCTTAGTTCCCCAGCTTCAGGAGTACAAAAGACTTGCTTTAATAGTGCACAAACTCAGGAACATGGTGAACAGTTGAGGCTGTAAAAATCACATAGACACTTACAAACTGACTTTCTGCAATGTATTTATTGACATTAAATTTTTTTTTCTGGATAATTTAGGACACTTATTTTGATAAAAATGTACCATTTTAAGTAGCTAATCCTCCTTTCTTTTCTTTAAGTACTTGGTGATGGATATACAGCTCATGGTGGGAGGGCGCCACCATCATTCTGACCTGAACCCTGAAGAGTACATTTTCGCTGCCCTGAACATCTACTTGGACATAATCAACCTTTTCCTTTTTATTTTGCAACTGATTGGACTAGCACGGTAGTTACACGGCCAAGACTGGCTCATGTTGAAGAGAGGGAGGGATGGAGGCCTGTGAAATATCAGGTCCAGCCATGCAGAGGTTACCATTTTATAAGCCCTTTTATTGAAAAAATATTTTAGAATAGTTTTGTCAAAAAATGAAACCAAACATTTAGTTCGTAGATGGTAGCTGTAGCTATTATAGCTTTAGTTTCATTATAATATTGCAATATATTCTGGGGGACAATTCTGATTTTTATAAATTCAAAAGATGAGTAAATAATTACATACTTGCAAACATTTATAAGATGCCCATTACTTTGTTGAAGTTTTATAGATACTATATAAAGCCATAAACATCTCTCTATATGAATAAAATTGATTATAGAAACCTGTATTTCCTTTTTTCCTCTTGATTTAGACATTCTGTGTGAAATTTGGCATCTATTTTTAAATAATACAATATATCAAAATACTCTGATTTTTTTCCCCTAGACTCCAGAGTTAAACTAGAGAGAATAGTATCTGCCTAGTGGGGCTTAGAGAAGATTAATGGAATGAGTGTATAGCAAGGACTCAGGTGCTATTGTCACCATCCCACCAATATTCTGGGTTTACCTCAGAGACAATCCTCTGATTGGGACAAATGGCTTCCATTGACATTCCATAGTATTTAAAAATAATATAAAATTGACCATCTTAACCTTTGTAAGTATACAGCTATGTAGTATTAAGTACATTATTGAGCAATCCTTTCTTTCTACTTGCAAAACTGAAACCCATACCCCTTTAATCATTAAGAAGTCCCACACTGACTTTGCACTGACTTTGTTTTATACATATCTTACAAAATAAGTTTGATTTAATTACTGAAGGTCATAGACTGGAAGATTTCCATCTCTTCTTGAGTCTCACATCTTATTGGGGTGAGATGCTTGATGAGGAAGATTTTCACAGAGATACAAAAGATTACACTTTCAATTCCACCCAAATGGATCTACATTCTTACCTTACCTGTTTTGAATTAAGTGTTGGTCAGCCAGTCTCTGGTTCTTCTCCCAGTAGGAAGAATATGTCATGCCTGCAGAATGAACAATGGCACAAAGCGGGTCCATGCCTGGTGTCCTTCAGGTAGACCAGGGAAAAGTGCAACAGAGAAAAAATTATGTGTGGCTGTGTTAGACAATGAATGATCTCAACTTTCAGGCTCAGGATTTTGAACTTTATCTTTTAGGTGTATAAAAGGTTTTGGTTGCCATATCACGGTGAAGGCATGGCTTTAGCAAAATTTGATCATGGTGGGTGAATCAGGATGGATAAGTGAGATTTTAGGAAGAGAAAGGTCCTATAAGGAATAATGCAATAACATACATTTAAGGCATTGAAGGACAGAACTAGGATGATAAATATGGCACAATTAATCACACATGATCAAGATCATGGACAAAGGTATTCATAGGCGTTGATGTCTGGATGGACCTGCAACTCAGGGAAATTTAGAATGACCCGTAGTTTACTGTCACTGTCTTTACTAAATTGGACCCTTTTAAGGAGAAAATGACTTGGGGAGCTATAAGGCAAGGTGATAGGCATAGGTTGAGGTATTTTGAATTATTTGGAAAAAGGAAGTGTTAACTTGGCTGTTTGGAGAGCTGGAACTCAGAACTAAAACTAAAGAACTGGGATCAGAATTAGGATGTGAGCTCAGATGAAATTGTTAGGAATGAGGGGGAAAAAGGAGAGCCCAGAGACTGAACATGTACATACTAGGAAATGGAAGGAGAAAAGGCTGTGGTCAAAATAGGAAGAGAGAACATTAATTATGGAGGCAGCAAAGATCTTCAGGAAGGTATTGGTGAATTCACTTAGGATTATAAGATCCCAGGCCCTTGAGCATGTATTATATGATGTTTCAAGGCAAATAAAACTAAAAGCCAACATAGTGGATTTGAGGGGCAGGGAATTGGGAGTCCAGACTTCATGGAGGCAGGATTGGTTTTGTGGAAGAAGTTAGTCACCAAAAGAAGTCTGGTTCTTTCAGTTCTAGAAGAGAATGAGCAGCATTATCCTCCCTCCCTCTCCCTTTTTCCACCTCCTCCCTCTCCCGAATTTCTAGGATAAGAGAAAACATGGGCATGTTTAAAGGCAGAAGAAAAATGAAGGTAAAATTGGGGGAGAGAAGGGGAAGGCCAAGAGCCCTTTTCTCCCAAAACTGGAGAGAAGGACTGGAATATTGAAGTGTGGCAGCCTCTTTTGAGATGAAGTTAAGGAAAAGAAAGAGCGAGGACATGGAGTCTACAGAGCCTCTGCTGGGAAATTAGGGTTTAGGGAATGCAAGAAGAGATTTCATCTGGATGCCTGAGTCAGTCATAGAGCATTAGGGTACTCTTTCCTCCTTTGTTAAAACTACAAGAGGAAATAAGACAATGAATAGGTGAATGAGCTTCTCAAAATTGCTACAATCAAGAACAAAAGTTCCACTTTTGGGAAATTTCAAACAACAGAGAATTATAAATCTGTGATGACTTGGAATTATGACAGAATAATTTTTTTTATCATCAACCTGAAATGAAGTAATTGGCCAGAGATTTAGACTTGGGCTAGTTTTTGATGGTTTGGTAATGCAAATTAGACAGAATAAAATAAAAACACTCATACTGAAAAATCAAGACTGTTGGAATAGAAAGCTTATTGGGGAGGGGAGTTTGATTCTTTGCAGGGAGGTTAGTCTTGGTTTTCAAGAGATCTCAAGTTAATTGTAAGGTAGTCTTAATATAGAATGGAAGTGAATCCTGACTGGGCAAAACAATTTGCTCACATGTCTGCTTTCTTCTGGGACCAGACATTTACGTTAGTTTTTCCACAATTCTTTTCTAACCTAGCAATTGCTTCAGAATGTTTTTGTTCTCTAAAGGAAACTAGTCAGTAGAGGCAAATTTTGAGTGAATTGAACCTTCAAAGTGCAATTCTAAAACTCTTAGTGGTGGTGATGTAAGTCTTAAATTATTCAAGTTGAGCCCATGAACAGCATGGGCTTGCCCTTTTATTATCTTAAGTACAACCAATTGGAAAGATGCAGTCTGAGAGGTGCCTAGAGGTAACAGGGAACTTTAGGTCAGTAATAGGGTCTGGAATTTGAATTTATCTGAAAAGGTGCAAACCTTTTCTCCTAACTAGAGAGGGCTGGAATATTCAAGTGTGGCAGCCTTTATTGAGATAAGTTAAGGAAAATGAGCAGAGAGGACAGGGAGTGAAGGCTTATGTTTTAAATAGAGATGGAAACAAATTAGTGATTCCCAGAATTTAGGGATGGTGGGGGGAAGGCAGTGTGTATGCATCTATAAAAGGGGTAACACAAGGGACAGTTTGTGATCATGGGGTAGTTTAATTAGGACAAGGGAATATGTTCACACTTTTTCAAATGTACATTACCACATCACACTCACCCCCAAGGAATCCATAGTCCTCTACCATAGACCACTGGGCTCTTTCCCCACTTTCCTACCCACACCCTCTTCCTGTTGTTGGTGGCCTCAATTCTGTAGTCAGAATTCTAGGAGTGTTTTTGCTGGTACAGTTTTGTCTGTTTCTTTGTTTTATGAAACTCCCAACATTTTTCCCCTTGGGCATTATAGTTTTTAATTTGAATTCTGTAGACTCTTGTGTTTTCTTTCTCCAGCAAAGTTCTCTCCCACACTGGGCATCTCAAACTTATGTTGGGGGTAACTAGGTTAATCTATTATCAGGAATTGCCCTTTGTAGAAGTAATTGCTTTTTGAGTCTGAGGGCAACTTGAAAGACAGCAGACATTTGACTCAGCAAATTCCAGGACTTATTAGGGGAATAAAATTCCAGGACTTATTAGGGTCAAAAAAAAAATTAAAAATAATTTTATCTCAGTAAAAAAAAAAAAACACAGTAGTAAACATTTAAAAAACCCATCCTCAAAACAAATGAATATCTTCATTGGTCCCAGGTGACAGCAATGTTGACTGCTTATAATGTATTAAGATAACATTTAATTGATTATTGCCCTAAAGGAAGGATAGCAAACACAACTGACATGCCAAATGCGGCCTTTTTTAAAAAAAACTTTTTATTTGGAATATAAATTCTCAGGAAGTGCAAAGATAACAGACAGACCTTATGTACACTTTCTCCAGTTCCTCCAATGGTTAGTCCTTACATATCAAAACCAGGGAACTGACGTATGTATACAATATTTATGTATAGTCCTATATGGTTGTTATCATGTGCAGATTTATATAGCCACCACTGCAGGTAAGATAGACTATTCCATCACCACAAATTGTCCCTTGCACTACCCTCTTATAGACACACACACACACACACACACACACAGACACACATTGCCCCCTCCACCCCTAAATTCTGGGAACCACCAATTTGTTTCCATTGCTATTTTTTCCCCCAAAGTGCTTTATAAATGGAAACACACAGAAGACATTTTGAGATTGGCTTTTTAAATTCAGCATGATGCCCTTCAAATCAAGTTGTTGGAAGGTGTCAATTGTTTGTTCTCCTATTCCTGAGCTTAGGATTCCATTGCGCAGACATACCTGTTAACCATTCACCATTTACAGGCCATTTTGGTGGATCCAAGTTTTTGTGCTAATAAAGCTGCTAGAACAATTTTATGGGTTTTTAAGTAGACATACGTTTTCACTTCTCCATGACAAATATCCAGGAGTGCAACGACTTCTGTGAACTAAGATGTCCTCTAAGCCAGGAACTGCTCAGTGGAACTGTGAAAAAATTAGCCCCCAGAGGGGCAGCTACTAATTTTTCATATAAAATTGAGGTATTTACACTATGGCCAAGCTAGCTAGACTCTTAAATATACCATTTCTATTTGACTTGCAAGGTTTTTGGGCCCTTGTTAATTCTTCAATTCCAGCTGGCCCACCCCACCCCAAGGTGAAGATTTCATACCTGTGAGTCAGAAGGCCTCCACGAGTCAGGCATTCACTTGCAATAGTAATAGGTTAATAGTTGGCTTTCTCCAAAATGGACGTACTTGGGGTTTGTGTGAGGTAGGTGGCAAAGTCGAGCAGGAAAACGGCTCGAGTACTCTGCTACCATTAAGTCTTTAAGGAGTGATTTCACTTTCTTCCTCTGGGGTTCCTCTATTGTTTCTGTTGGACCACTGGAAAGGGGATAGGAAGGCAGGTTGGGGACAAATTTATATCCTCACCATCATTTCTCTGCATAAGGCATCCCTGAATAGAGAACTCCTACTGACAGATTATGAGACATGGATGTAGAGGCATATAACCTATCAATTACAGTAGATATTCAGACTTGAAAGCTACATTACACACTATGGGCCACCCGCAGACAACACTCCCCTTTTCTGCTACTGAATGCCTTGTTCTCAAATGAGGAATCTAAAATATATTGAAGTTAGGAGCTATACAGCAGATGACAATGGATACCAGATCACCTTATCAGCCAACCCAGGGGTGGACTCCATGAGGTAGAGGAGGCTAGACCATGAAGACAAAACTTAATTGCTGGCCGTTTTTCTTTAGCCAGAGTCAATTTCTGAGTACTAGCATAGCTATCTCTCCCAGGGTGTTAGGATCCAGGAAACCAGGTCCCAGGAGTTTCTTTTTAATCCCAGCACATGGCCATGTTTTGCCCTGTGGTCTTTAGGGTCTTCTGTCACTCCTACACCCAGCATTTTGTCCTCATTGCTGGCTAAGTCTGGAATTAGGGTTATAACAATGACCTGCTCTGTATTTTTAGGCAAGACTTTGCATTCTCTCTCTTTTTTTTTTTAAGATTTATTTTATTTATACAAGAGGCGGGGCACAGGCCAGAAGCGCGGGTGAGAGGATTCACCAGAGACAGAGTGGGGACCAGAACAGGCAGACAGACGAAATACACTGCTGAGGGGAGCAGTGGGCGAGACAGGAGAGGTCCGCTTGCCATGTGGGTTTCTCCAAGGCTGACGGGGATCGAACTGGCACTGCAGAGGCTGCGGACAGCTTCACAGCCTGCGCCACCAGGGAGGCCCTGCATTCTCTTTTGTATATGATCAGGGACAGCTTGTAGTTCAACCTTATGAACTTCTAATATTTTTTGGTGCACTGAAAGCTCTCAATCAAAAGCAAGGGTCATACTGCTGATATTTGTTTTGGGGATTCCTTGATCTAGCAATTTCAGTCACACAGCTTTCTGACAGGATCACAGGATTTGTTGACCCTAAATGAAAATATTCCTTTCTCAGCCTGTCTGCAACAACCAAGGCACCATTTGGACAGCAGGTAGTATTCTACCTCTTATCTCTAAGCCTCTAAACATTAGTTCAACTCCTGTAGAGTAACAGGTAGGACAGTGGAAATCTCTACTCTCCTACTCCTTGTCTATCACTTGGATGACAGCATTCATTACCAGGTAGATGCCAGGATATCTTATATTCTCAAACCTGGTCCACCATCCTTCTTCCAGAAAACCATGTCTCTGTAAGTATTCCATTCTTCTTGTTGAATGGAATTGTTCCCTACTTACAAACCATTAAGTTAGCCTGTCACAGTTTCATGGATGCTGACAAAAAACCTAAGACTTGTGGGTCAGAGGCAAGGGACTTCATCACTCCTGGCACAATACACAGAATTAACATCGATGCATTTGTGTTAGCTCACCTTGTTCCACAGGAGCAATGGATGGATGATGGCAAGCACGCAGAGTGTTTGTGATGCAGCTGAAGAACACTGAGTATAAAGAATCTAGTGTGTTTTTGGTAAGGTTGCTCCTTGTCCACAGGTTACTAGCAACATAAATCCTGAGAGATGGCCCTGGCAAAACTGTTGTCAAGTTTTGGCACACCCGGCACACCCAGCAAGATGTGAAGATACATAAGAGGCTCAAGAGAACTGTACTGTCTGGCCCAACAATTATCCTTTTCTATATTGTATTTTGATTTTCTCTCATGTACTAACTGTACATATTTTTTCTCTTTTTTAAAAAAATATTTCATTTTCTTCCTTTTTTTTTTTTTTAGGAAAAAGATTTATTTATTTATACAAAAGCTGGGGTACAGGCCAGAGGCTCGGGAGAATGAGAGGATTCACCAGTGACAGAGAGGGAGCAGAACAGGCAGACAGACTAAGAACACTGCTGAGCGGAACAGTGGGCGAGATAGGAGAGGTCTACTGTGCCATGTGGGTTTCTCCCTGCCTGGCCGGGAATCGAACCGGTGCCACAGAGGCTGAGGACAGCTTCACAGCGCTGCGCTCAACCCGCTGCACCACTGGGGAGGCCTTACTGTACATATTTTAAACAATTTAGTACTTATTTAAAAATATCTACTTTTTATATTAGAAATTCATCCTGACAATATCAATTGCTGAATTGCTAATTTTTATTTTTTTGTATTCCTCACAGTTTTTAACGAATCTTTCTTCTCTACCAACATCGCTTATCCTTTTGTCCCTTTCCCTCCTGCTCCTCCTAACACCACAGTGTTTGTTATACCCACTGGTTCTTTAAACCACATTTAAAGAATAATTCAGCATGTAGACATTGGTATTTAAGCTTCAGTCCACAAAATGGAAGGCAGTAATATAACAAGACTTTAAGTGGTTGTCACTGGCAGAACATGAAGCTGGTGGCCTGGAACTTAGGTATGTACAATGAAGTTAAGATGCCACTTAGAAAGGAAATAATAATAAAATGGGGAAGGAGGCATTTCTCTTCATATGGTATTTAAAAAAAAAAAACCCTGTCTTAAGCAATTTCACCAAGTATCTTAAAACTCTTTTTCTGTGTTTCTATTAGAAATTTCAAAGAAAAATCCTAGCAATTTTCTCCTGAAAGCTACAATGGTGAAAAGAAAATGAAAAGTCACCATATTTTAACACATGGTCATACAGTTTCTTGTGGTTTAACTTTATAGCTGAAAATGCTTAGTAAGTGGGCTAGTGTAAAAAAATACTAGGCACTAATCAACTACATGTAAGGACCAAACTAATCTGATCATATTGGAGGGAATTTAATTTGAAGAAATCGACTTCCTGACTTGTTAAAACAAAGTCTATAATGTAACGAGACAAAGTGAAGTAGTTTAAGTAATAAATGTTTAATCAAAGAATTTTACATATTATTAACAGCATTCATTTGGCCGAACATCTACATGTTGTAGAATCCTACTGTATATAAAGTGGGAATGTATCAAGTATAGACTATGAAAGTGCAAATAACAAGTCAAGGTTAGAGTAATTTTTTTTTTTACATTATAAAATTAACTTGTTTACAAAATAGGCTTTGCCAAACTTTATTTCTGAATTGTAAAGTCAATGACTGTGTTTTTAAAATATGTACCAAGGAAATACAAACTGGATAATGATCATTTTTCATGCTCAGGAAAGAACAGCACAGAAACAAAGGGTACTGCACAAGGTGTAAGGAACCAGAACCCACCACGTACAGTCTCCACACAGCGCTCTTTCTCACCTTATTGCAGCTTTGCAAGACACCTCAATGTGATACAAAGACTCTTCTATTGAAAAATTACAACTGGGTCTAAAAACTGATTTGTGTTGATATTTTTAATCCAAAATAAATTTGTAAAAAAATCCTTTAATGGACCATTTCAGTTTAATATACAGTAATACACTGCAGATAAAGTTAATATTTTCCCCAATTAATGTTAATAGGGATTGATATCTATGTTTCTGGTAACTGGGGAAACAAAAACTATTATGGACCTTTGCTATCCATAGCATAGGAACAATTCTCACATAGTTTATCCTACAGGGACCTTGGGAATATTACATACTCTAATATAATTTCCGAGCCATATGAATTTGAAGTACAAGAATTTTTCAAAAGCAGGGTTTGGAAAAAAAAAAAAAGTAATAAAAAAACATAATCACAGCTCACCTGGATTGCAATATTAATATAACCTTTTATCCAGCCCAGGACTTGCCTGTACAAACTCAGTAGTGAAATTTTGGTATCTGAGGATTTCTGGTAAGAATCTGGCAAAACATTAAATGAAGTGTTGCGTATCTATTTTGCTTATGTTATGCTAGTTTTGATAATATGTAAGTAAAACAGCCATTCCAACAATTTACTTTAGTTTTAATTACACACTGTACCATTGCATCTTAATTACAACTAAGACCAGTATTTTCTTCACAGTAAGACACTGATAACTAGGAAGTTGATTTTTTTCAACACTAAACAGTAATCACATAGCAAATGAGTATTGTGCAATAGAACAAACACATGTCAGCATTTGCTATTTAGGCAAACTGATTGAACATTTAGTTGTTATATTTACTGTAAAGGCAAGGCCATGGGTGGTTTTATGGAGGTCTTTGCAATTCATAGCATAGTTACTTCAGAAGAGACATTGATATTTGAATTACTCACTTATTAAACTGGCAACTATCCATTTAGGTTAGGCAAAGGCACGGTAACATGTTGCGCAGGATGTTTAATTTTTAATAATTGTGGGATTTACTATACTCATGAAAACTCCACTTTTTTCTATTTTATAAAACACTTACCATTAAAAGTAATTGCACCCATTAGTAATTAGAATGCACTGTAAAATTGTGAAAACAAAGAACTATGATTGCACTTCCAATAAAGTGTCTCTTAAAATACAGCACCGCTGTTGCTAATCAACTGTATTTTAATATTAAAATAAACTGTTTTTAACAGCAGCATTAGGTTTAGTTAACTTAAGCTACAGGCTACATTTATTTAAATGCAGTCTCCATGGCAACAAAAGCCCATTAAATTCTGAAATATCTGTTACAAAGTGGCACCTTTTACTCCCAAGAATGCTGAAACTTCTCTGGAACCGTCTAGGACACCACACACCTAAACGCCTTCTTAGCACATGAGTCAGAGTTTGGCACAAGTGGACTGTAAATAGACATGAAGAGAAATCTTTGATTCATGTGAAAATTAAAACTAATTACACTGTGGTAGATGTAGCTACTGAAGAGAAGCCTTGATACCTCAATTCACGAAGCTCAGACAAAAAGGACCAAAGTTATGGAAGGGCACAAAAAGACTGAGGGAATGCCATGAGATCTACCCAAAATACTTCTAAAATGAAGAAAACTTTTTTTTTAAAGGAAAAAGCCACCGAAGGATTAGGGAGTAAGCCTTTAATTTAAATGTCTAATTTAAAGTATCACAGACCTTAGGAAAAGAAGACTGCATTTTTGTTCAATGTAGACTCTAACCTATTTATTCCATTTGCTTCTTTCTCACTCTCCCATTCTTGTTTTTGTCAGCAAAAAGTGGAAAAGCTATCCAATTAAATATAAAAAAAATCCTGGTAAAATTAAAATTAAAAAATGAAGCTACCAATCAAGGGAACTCCTTCATATTCAATCCTAACGTCAGTGGTTTATAATTGAGTTGGAATTAGGTAGACTTAGTCTCTATAATGCATACTCCACTAGCATACCAGCTGTACCTGTGATTCACTTAGAGCCCAGAGGTGTGCAGATCACACTAAATGTACTTGTTCAAGCCAGTCACTTGAGGTTTGAGGTGGTTGACTTGAAACATCTGAACTATCCCCCTTGTTGGCTGCCTCATTATCACCGTCACCAGTTTGAGATACTGCTTCCCCAGTCAGAATATTCTCTTCCAAAGGATTTTCCTCTTCTATTTGGGTTCCTCTACCTTCACTGACAAGAGCATCTTCGAACACTGAATCTTCTTCTGGGGGTACCAGTTCTACATCCCTCATACTTTCTGACCCATCTTTGACACAGAGGGGCTGGGAATCTGCAGTGAATTCTGTAGTTGCTGGAGGAATCAGGGCAATGCTCTGAGGATTCATGTCATGAAACCAAGCCATGATATTGCCAAGAAGATTGTCACTGATGTTGGTGTCCTGGTCAGCTGAGTCAGGGTCACTTGAAGAGGGAAAGAATTCACTTCTTGCCTCACTGAGAGGGTGTGAACTCAGTGTGTCAGTTGAAAATGGGTCACTTTCTGCTCCTAGTCTCATGAGGCTGTCACCAAGTTCCAACAGCTCAGAGCTGCTCATTGCAGCCCGAGGGCTATCTGTGTTCCTAGGGACTGAGTCCAGTCTAGAAGGTAAAGATGTGCCAATTGCTCCTAAGGATGCTTCATTACTGAAGAAGTCTCTATTTTCCTCATCCATAGCCAGCCCAGATTCTTGCAGGGATAACTGTATTGCAAGAAGTATATTGGGGTCATCCTCATCCAAGGAACTTAGAGCCTGAAGCAACAGAAGGTAAATCACTTTAAAAATCAAAAAGAAAATGATTTCACCCAATAAAGCTTACCAGTGCTCTTTTACTGAACAAATATTATCTCTATTTATAGATTGTTATCTACTCAAACCATTTTTCAATTTTCTCCTTTCCTATGCTTAAGAGAAAACTTAAATACAAAAATTGTTCCCTGTAGTACATCTCTGAATGATTTTAGAATAGAAGAAAAAGGAAAATAATAAAAGTGAAAATAGGAAACTAACCAAAAGAGTGAAAGAAAAGCAGGGCATTGAGGTTGCCCAGGAAGGCTACCTGAAGAGAGTCCTGGTTCTCAGAGCGACTGGCAGGAGTGAAGTCGCGCAGCGAAGAGCTGTGCAGCACGCTCATAGACGCAGAACTTACCACAGAGGTGCCAGGTCTGCGGCTGCTGCCACCATCTGGAATATCTGTTTCAAAGCAAGTGGTAATGGACAATTTGGACATAAAAGATTTCAGACATCTTTTTATTTAAATTGGTGATTTTTCTTTCAGTAATA